GCTTCTGCTTTGTTTGAATGAAAACATGCAGACATACCAGCCCCCAGTGTAGTTCGCAGATAGGTTTGACACCCCTGCCCAATATCAAGTGTCAGTTATAGAGGGGTGTAAAGCCCCCCAGCATTGGACTGTGGAACTGTGTTGCCTGAAGTGATGGGGCTTTATCCACTCCTTTGGGAAAAGTTGGAGTGGATCCCTAATTAATAATCCAAATGTAGTATCTGACCTCATTAATGCTCTTGTGACTGAATGCAATCAAATCCTCACAACAGCTCTCCAACAGCTAGTGTAAAGCTTTCTCAGAAGAGTAGAGAAATTGCAGATAAACAGGGGTCTAAAAACATTTAGACAGTGTGTCAGCAATTATTAATTGTTCACATTAATTATTCATATGAAAATTACAACAGCAATGTTCCAAATGTTCTTAAATGAAAACTCAAACCACAAAGTTTTATTTTAAAATAATGGATTAAGAAAAAGTTTTATTAAATTTTACAGGACATGAATGAATGAATGAATGAATGAATGAATGAATGAAGTCACCCTGTAAAGCCTGAAATAGTGATTTTTTGACCATGTCATATGTCTTTACATATTAATATCACACACCAAGTTTTGACTGAATTCTCTTTAAATATTCTTTCAACTCGCTCACCATCATCAGATTCATCCTCTTGGGGAATGGGTCTGAGGCAAAACCAATGTTAAAATGTTACAACGTTAAAATGCTATTACACATTTCCACCAGAGAGGTCTCCAAATTCCCAAAACTTATTTTGTGTAGCTTTGAAAAATTAATGAATAACAAAGCAAGCAGCAGAAATGATCCACACTAACACAAAAGTGTTACTTTTCCGCAGCTTAAAAGAAAACAGTTACAATTATAACAGTGTCAATTCCACAATATCTTACAAACCATCTTTTCCCCCTCCACCTTCTGAATCCCGCGAGATTATCCCTCTTGAATTAACGGGCAGAGTAAAAATCTTTTCCCAAGCCAAATCCGGTGGCCACCCATCTAAATATATAACCATCTAAATATATAACCGCCTCAGGGACAGGAGAGGAGCCAGAAGTAAATACAATGTTCAAAAGTCTACGGATATTTGACAATAAGTACCGTCCTTTAATAAACCCAGTTTGGTCATCTGAGACGATCGAAGGAAGGACTGGATCTAAACGTTTAGCTATCACTTTTGCTAGAATTTTATGCTCATTGCAGAATAAACGAATTGGTCGGTAAGAGCCACATGAGGTTGGGTCAGTCTTTTTTCAGGATAAGCGAGATTGTTGCCTGAGTAAAAGTTGGGGGTCGTTGAACACTTCCAGTTTATCTTTGAACTTTTTATAAAACTATACCAAAACCATCCAGGCCTGGTGTTTTACCACTACTCATCGAGCTGATTGCTTCTGCAATTTCCTGAAGTGTGATGGGGCCGTCCAGGTTCTGTGCCGTGTTAGGGTCTAAAGTGGGAAGCTGTAAATCATTCAAAAAGGAATGCATAATATCTGGATTGGGGTGGTGTCCAGATGTATAAAGCGAGGAGTAATAGTCGGCAAAAATCTTGTTCATTTCCTTGGAATGTGAGGTCAAATTGCCCTGTAGAGTCTTTAATCTGAGGGATTAGTATGGAGGCGGTATGTCTCCTGAGCTGATGAGCAAATAATCGACTGCCTTTATCACCATATTCATATACTAAGCCACGTGAACCCAAGATAAAAGCCTCTGCTTTTTTAGTAGCAAGTAGATTAAACTCTGCTTGGAGGTCTGCTCGTGATTTTAACAGCTCAGGAGGAGGCTTCTCAGGAATTTTTCTATCCAATTTCGCGTATCAATTTTGAGATATCCTCCATTTGTTTACGCCTGATTTTTTTAATGTATGAGGAAGACGAAATTATTTCTCCACGAAGCACGGCTTTAAGTGATTCCCACAGTGAAAGCCTATTCACAAAGTCCTCATCATCCCAGTTCGGAGCATAGATGTTTACCAATAGCACCTGGACCTGGAACAGGAGACCTAAAACGATAACATATCTACCTTGTTGGTCTGAAATTATGTTCATTGGAATGAACTGGGTCCTCTTATTTATCAAAATAGCAATCCCTCTAGCTTTTGTGTTATAATTAGAATGAAAAACTTGGTTGACCCAAGATTTACGCAGTCTGGTATGTTCCGTTCCAGATAGGTGGGTTTCCTGAAGGAACACGATGTCTGCACTTAGTGTTTTGAGATGGGGAAAAAAACCTTTACCATTTTAGTCTGGGCCTGCAAACCTTCAACATCCCATGAGATAAATCTGACCGAATTGTGTTGGTTAGTGTTCTTCCTTAACACAACCTTCCAACTTGAACTTGAGCTTACGGTGACGGTTCATAAGTCCGTGCACCACCTCTCTCTCCCTAAGTAACAGACTCAAAAAAAAACCTAGCTCCAACCCCCAGTTCCCCACAGCCATCAAGAGAAAAGAAGTGATACAGCGAACAGGTTCAGAACCATACTAAACATCTCACGTTATAAACTTCTTAAAAGCTCTTGGGACCTGGGCAGGACAACTACAAATAAGAATACTAAGAATTAAACATAAAAAACAAATAAATAAGGACCCCCAGACCTCAATCAGAAGTCACAAAAAGTCACAACGAACTGGACCCAAACTAATGTCCCTTTCTCAGAATGATCTATTACACTTTTGGAAAAAAAAATAAATAAATAAAATAAAAAAATAAAAAAAATTAAGTGAGAACCGTGTAGAAACAAAACGTGTGATGCAAAAGTGTGGTTCAAAGATCTTAGATCAAGTCCTCAAACCAAATTTTAAAGCGTCCGCTATAAAGGCACAAATATGAGCATTGGTAAGTGACATAGGGGGGTGTGGCCCAAACCACAGTCGCACTAACCTCAGGGACAGCCATTCCCGAGACTACAGTTCTTCTGCGCAGCATCAGGCGTATCAAAGATCCTGGCCACGCCATTCACGATGACTCTAAGTCTTGCAGGGTGGAGGAGCATAAAAGGGACTCCTCTCTGAAACAAAGTTGCTTTGACTTGCTGAAACGCGGCTCGTCTGCGAGAGAGATCCATGCTGTAGTCAGGAAAAATTCTTAGCTTGTACAAAAGTGTTGCTTTAAAGTATCAACGCATGCAGTAAAGTTTTATAACTATGTAATTCTTTTTTTTTTTAAGTCTGTTTATTAAGGATTTCACAGTATACAAAAGACAAACAGTCCCATACCCCCAAACCCACCCATCCCACCCACCCTCCAGACCTACATCAATGAGACAAAACTGTATAAATTCCAACATTATATAAAAACTGAGGTACACTGTAACTTAAATGTATATTATGGAGTTACATTCTTGGCTTCCATTTTATCCACATATGTCAGGAAGCTATAATGCTATAAAATCTTTGTACAGATCCTTGAAGAGAGTATCTTATCTTCTCTAGCTTGAGATATTGCATAACCTCTTTGATCCACTGAGAATAATTAAGGGAAGAGGGTCTTTCCACCTAAGCAATATTAATCACCTGGCCAGCGAAGTGCAAAAGGCCAATATGTCGCATTTATAATTATTTAGTTTGGTATCTGGTGGTGCAACACCAAATAATGCAATAAAAATAGAGTAGCCTGTTGGTTCTTTCGGAATTTTAGAGAGAGTATAAAAATAGATTTCCAAAAGTGATGAAATCTTGGACATCTTGGATGTAGTAAACCTGCAGGGTCTTGCTGGCACCTGTTGAGATTATTTTTGCCCATTCTTTTAATTAGTTTCCTTTTTCATGTTCCTGTAATCCTGAAAAACATTTTTCTTATTAAATTTTAATCATCTATTTGACTTCTGGAATTCAATGTGTTTTCTTCTCTTTTTAGTTTTTTTTTGGGTATATGGCATCACAGAAATTATGAAAGTGTGTTTTTCAAACATTTCTACATTTTTATTTTTGATCAAACTGTATTAATGTGTGTGTGTGACGTATTAACGTCACACACTCTCAAAAATAAGATGTTTAGGTCTCAAATTCAAAATCAAAATGATACTGATTAAGATATGATGACAATAGTAGATAATTTGCTTACATCCTCGGAAGACACGCCCCTTACCAAGTTCTCATTTGAATACTCTTTCAACTTGCTCGCAATCATCAGATTCATCCAGTCAGGGAAGGGGTCCGAGGCACAACCATCATTACAAAATGTTCTTCTACCTGTTGCGTGTAATTACACATTTCCACCAGAGAGGTCTCCAAATCCCCAAATCTTACATAATGTAGCATTAAAGAATGAATGAATAACAACGCAGAACCGATCCACAGTATGAACACTAACACATTGTTATTTTGTTATAGTTTTAAAGTATCAATGTAAGCAGTAAGTGCCAAGTTTCACAACTGTGTAATTCTTTAACAATGTATTTTTATAATCTTCATTAGGATTAAATGTCCTATGCTTGTTATTCAGCTGTAAGTCTTAAAATCGTTGAAATTTTTCAATAACTACTGGACATGTAAGTTATGTAGCTGTGACAGTGAGGGACTGGAGTGTGGGCCCACATACAGGCCTTGAAGGTTAACAGACAGCAATATTTAAGCACTTTCTGAGTCTAAAGTTGCTTGTGAAGCTTGTGAACATTCAAAAGAGGAGATTTTAACACCCAATTCCACCAAAACTGTCAAATGTAGGTCAGTTCCTACATGCCTTGGGCTTTATACAGGGGTGAATAAGAAACAAATAAACAAACAGTTTTAGTAGAACAGTGTAAGTTTAAATTGAGCCCCACCGGAGCTGCTGAAATGTTGACTTACTATTTCTGTTTCATCTCAAACTGAGTAAACATTCCTTTTTGGCAACAGTGTTGATAGCCTATCTGTGTATGTGTGCCTGACAGAAAATCTACCCACACACATCAACATGGGTGGCAGTTAAACACCTACTGCTTTCTCTACATGGTTATTTTTCAGTCTTAACCAACAGAAACAAAGGCAGTAGTGATCTTTTATTACTCTATATTAAAATGGCTTTCTGATAAGAAATGACTCTAACATTGAAACGGAAATGACTGTTAAAATGAAACATAAGCAGGAAGGTTGTGCAGGGCTGCTGTATGAGCAGGTGGACGAGCTCACCTGTGTTCTCACATATAAGACAGAGAGAAGGACAAGCACTCTCAGTTTCTCCAAAAACATGAAGCTCCTCATCCTGCTGTCCATCTGCTCCTGCCTGGCGTTGAACGCCTGTGCTCAGCCGACTCCCTGCGGTAAATATACACCAAAAGAAATATAATGGATAATGTAGCTATTTATGTATAGACTTACACTGTTTGTTAAAAAGTCATTGTTTTTTTTCAGTTCATGTAGCAAATATTCATCAAAAACAACCATCATGCATATTTTAACGGCGCTGCTTATGTATGGATTTATACTGTTTGTTAAAAAGCTGTTGTTTTTGTTTTGGCCAAGTCCTTGTGATCAATATTCATCCAAAACATGTCATAATGCTTATGTTAACAGAGCTATTTACGTACAACAGTGAAATTCTTGTTGAAATTGTTGGGAAACTTGGGAAAAAGTGCATTTTTAAAATGATATAATAAGAAACACACCTGATCATATACAAACTTTCTTTTTTCATTTTTACATATTTCAGTGTCTCCACCTTTTATGACGGGGAATGCCTATATGGTGAGATCTGTACATTCATCACTAGCTTTAATTTATGAATTTTAATCTCTATTTTGTGAATAATCTATGAATTACAATCTCCAGCTCTGATTTAACTCTCCTGACTTTAGCACACTGAGATCGGTGCCATCACGACTTCAGGTACTTTTGATTATGATGCACTGGGTCAGCAAATTCGCATCAGGAGCTCTGGGAGTAGCCCCAGCGGCGCATTTTCTGTGGATCTGCTGATGCAGTTCCAGCAGGTAAGAACATGGTTTGATTCATGCAGACTGATGAAAAATGAAAGAACGTTTCAGAATTTCATTTAAATGTATAAAGCATGAAGAACTAAACCATCAAAGGCATTTATAATGGTGGATCTGCTTGACTTAAGTATGTTTATATAGAACCTAAGTGTGGCATCACAATCGTGAAATTTTAGATGATAATTAACTTCATATAAATAATTGCAATTAACAGTTTGTCTTTTGTTCATTGTGTGCATTTAATAAAACAGCAACACAAATGTCTCAGCTACACAGAACCATGTGTAGTCAAGAAAAGCTTATTTTTCTCTTGAGAGTTAAAATGTAAGCAAAAAACCCACTCATTCCGCTAGCATACTTGCTAAAAACAGAATTGCCTATATATTTAACAGATATATTTTATAAATGTATTTTTTATAACTTTTAATAACAGCGGAAAAAGACTGCAGTCAGTTTAAATACACACACACACACACACACACACACACACACACATACAATATATACACACACACACACACACATATATATATATATATATATATATATATATATATATATATATATCAAATAACTGCTCAAATAACTGCAATTAGACGAATAATTGTAATTGTAATAATTGTGACAGGCCTAAGTCTGAGGCCATCCCACTTAATGTGAATTTTCTACTCCAATAAATGTTCACAGAACAATGGGTTTCATTTTATTTGAAATTGTGAATAAAAATGGATGAACTACAATAAAAATATTAGAAACTTTGATGTTCAGATTTAACTTTAGCGCTCGATTTATACATGTATGTTCTTTTTGGACTTATTAAAACAGTATTTCTTAATCCTGTTCCTGACGAGTATTACTTATTTATTTATTATTTATTTATTTGCCATTTATTACTTGTTCTAAGTGATTTTAGTAAGTCAGAGTATCTCAGATAATTTTGCTTGTTGTAATATGAAAACAAACCAAATTATCAGCCGATATAGTGTATAATTTAACTTACGGTAATAACTTATAAATAATCTTATAATAAACTCACAATAATCTCAAAATGAGAAATTCTTAAACATATATTGACTAGATTTGACAGTTTCAAACAGAGAATTTTAGTGCTTTGATGAGTCTCTGAATTTTGAATTATAGTAAAACAATACAGAAAAACTAACCAGTCATTTGCCTCCCAAACACAGAAAGTGGCTTACGAGATTGACTATTCGGAACGCACCTGTAAGAAGGTGGCACTAGACGCTCCCTTCAATCCCATCCAGATTCCACCCGGTTCTTTCCCTGTGGCTCAGACAGTTCTCGGGACCAGCTCAGTGGCTGGAATGGGGCTGCTGGCCAACACATGGTATGGAGAGATCCCGGAGATACAGGGTAAGCAATGCTAGTGCCTAAACAAACAAACAAACAGCTGATTTGTACAGCACTTTTTACACTGAAAAGATAAAATCCCGTAATCTCACAATTACTGACAAAAAGGTTACACTGGGCATTTGTTAGCCCAAATAAACAAATATGTTTTAAATCCAGATTTGATATCATTCTTGGATGGACATTAATTATGTTGCTCAGTAGTCAATAATCAGATATTTGAATAAAAAATCACTTACAATGAAATTGAGCTCTGATTTTAAATTAACTACTGTTTGTAAGTTGACTGTTTTCTAACTCAAATTCTCCTGTATCTCCAGCCATGTACACACTGGTCTTCTCAGACAATGCCTGTGTGCCACTCAGTGGGACGTACTACTCTCCAGAGACAGGAACAATTATTATAAGGTCTGCACAGCTCTATAATCTCATATATTACATACCACTCAATATACTGACAGTGTACCTTTCAGATTTGCTACTAGATCATACTATCATACTAGACAAAGGACCTCTTTTCTTTTCTAACAGCTTCTATAACATCTTGCTTGGTGTCCGGGACCCCATGGACTTCATCCCTCCCTATTTCTGTCAAACAGAGGATCTGAAGAAAGTGGAAGACTTACCCAAGACCAACTGTTTCAGGCTCATTTCCTCTGTCAATAAACAGTTTTAAGGGGCCGTATCAGGGAAAACTAAATTTGCCTTACTTTTTTGGAAATAAATTAGTTTGATGTTCTATGTAAGCACTGGGCCTCAATTACCAACTGTTCTTAATAAGAAATTTCTTCTTAAAACCCACTTTTTACAAAGATTCTGACATTCACCAATGTTTCCTTATTTGGAATCTTAAGTCAAAAGACAACCTACACCTCTCAAGGGCACAAAATTAACAATAATTCTGTTTAAAAACGTCACAAATCTGACATAGACTTTCGTAGGACCTTTCTCAAGAACAAATTTAAGAAAAAAACTTGGTGAATGAGGCCTGTTGTTAGTTTCAAAATGTACCGTTCACTCCCCAGTTCATACAGTCCATATATGGAAATTAAATTGCAATAACAGCCCATTTTGAATTCATTAACTTTGTCACAAAACCCAATGCCCTTACATACACCCAGCTGTTTAGCTCACAGAAGTTTAGCCCTGCCCACTCACACTGAAGTTACAAAGTGCATTTCAGCATGAACCATTTCCATCATCACCACCATCATAGGGTTGCAGAAGCATTTAGGGGAGAATCCCAGACGACCCTGTCTCTCCTAACTTCCTCCGGCTCATTCCGAGGGACCATGAGCCGCACCCGGGCCAACTTGGAGAAATAACCCCTCCAGCAGGTCCTAGGACGACCTCAGGGCCTCGTCCCAGCAGGTCGTGGCAGCTAAACCTCCACCGGGAGGCGCCCAGGGGCCAAACCAGGACTTATTTAAAGAGTAATGTTCTATTAGAGTTAAGGATTAATATAACTACAAGCAAAGCAGTTATTCCCCTTTGACAACAAAAAATAAAGCAATCAACTAAAAGCACTGTTTTAGTTTCATTTAATTAATGAAATGAACAGCTTGATGTCCTGGATTTCCTTATATCTAAGAAAAAAAAAAATAAAAAATCAAACATGAATGCAAGTTCTTTTCTACCTTTATTTTCTTTTTACTTTTCCAGGCAAACCGACAACTTCAATATTTTTCAGTTTTAACACCTGCTTAAGTGGCAAGATCTGTTAATTCCACTCATTTTGTTCCAACAAAAAAAATACTGGGAACAGCAGCCTTTTGGAGTCTTTGCAAAGTAGTTGAGCAGATTAAACAGCCCAATGAGAGAAAGCCATGACAAGGAAGAGACATCTGACATCTGATTTCAGCTCAAGCATAAAGCAATCCACTCATGAGTTGACAGCTTTTTTCATAATTAAATGATTCATAAAGACATCAGTCAACCCTAAAAACATCAGTAGGAAAGTTGTCAGTCAATAAATCAAATACACCTACTAAAAAGCATGTACAACTAAGTACAAAGCATTGAGTGCTGATTTACCATGGACTGGCAAAGCCCACAGTATCTTAAAGACGAGGGCCCATTTGGGTACAGTAGTGTACTACGCTTTTACAGCACACAAGTACTAGACATGGGCATCCAAATTCATGCCATAAGATACAGTATAAAAATCATAGGCCTGGCATTAACAAGAAATAAATTAACTGTAGATTTCCCCCCCTCCCCTGCACTACCCAGTATGTACACCAGTGCTTCTGCAAATTATGAGATTTTAAAACCCTGAAAAAACACACTTGTAAAATGAATCCGGCGATATTATGAGAAGTGAAATAAAGAAAGATGAAAACAGGCACATTGAGAGCAATTGAGTCCATTATGACAATGTGATACAGTCAGCAATCCTCCATCAGCAAAACTGCAGAATAAAATGGCAAAAAAAAAAACAAAAAAACACCAAACATAATATACCACAGTGCATTTCAAAATGTGGCAGAATTAGAGTTGGCCATCAACCACTGCTGAGGTAAAACCCAGCAACGCATGTGAGTGTGGGTATGAAGAGAATCAGTGCCAAAAAGAAAAAAAAAAATTACAGTGTGTTCAGAGGCATGGCTTTCTAGAACAGGAAAATATCTGCATGATTACGCCTCTGAACCTATCCACAGGCTACAAAGATGAAAAGGAAAAATAAAATAAAAAAAACAAACAAAAAAACAAACCCAAAAAGCTTCATTTAGCCAGTCAACAAAATTAACATCTCCACTCAAAAGAAAAAAAAAATTAAAAAAAATTGTTACATTAAGTGGAGTAGTTTTACATTTTTACTCTCCTTTGTTGATTTTTGACCGTTTTTTCTTTTAATGTGATCGTATTGTTAAGTAGTTAGGATGTATGCATGTGTGGACCAGTCTCTAAGAGTGCTGCACTATGGACAGGGCTGCTGGCCTCCAGCCGACTGAGCTCAGAACAGCGTACCGCTGCAGTGTTACACCCTTTTCACTCATCTGATCCAGCTGAACGCTTCTGCGTCCTCTTGCGAGGTGATCTTCTGGGGGAAGCCTTATCTGGATAGAAAAATAAATCAGATAGAAATGAACTCTATTTATAGACTCATATACATAGACTTCTGCTACAGTATATGTATGGACAACAATTTTGATCTGTTGATGTTGAATCCGCATTAGTTTACAAAATTTAAATGAATATTTATTTGTCGCTTAAATAGTTGAGAAAATTTAAACCTCTCTTTACTTTATGGCACAACCTCTCAAAAATCATAACTCTGAAGAGAAGGCTTTGGCATGAATTAGAATGAAATATCACTGTTTAGTTTCTCCAAAATCTGCCAAAGGACAGCCTGTCATTCTTGTATTTGTGTTGTTTGTCGGTTGTGTTTATAAAAACAGTCAGATTAAGTTCTTTCACCAATGAACATTAACACTGTGACTGATGGGAAGCGAACAAGATGATTTTATTATAGACATGGGCTCTTTAATACACTACGACTGGCTTAAAATCGTGATTGATTACACAAACTCATATTAAAAAGGATCCAAGGCCTACTTTATAAATGAGATAATAATAATAATAATATAATAATAATAGTAATAATAAAGACAATCATCCCATCATCCCCACTTAATTACTGTACTACATGATCCTGACAGGTGAAAAGAAGTCTCACCTCGCCGACTCTGCACTGAGGATGCAAAAGGAGAGAAAAAGAAGAGAGTGAGTGATCCAGAGAGCAAGCAATAGCAGCACCGCATTTGAAACACCAGCAAAGACCATGCAAGAGAAAAAGAATGGAAAAATAGCAATGTTTCTGAAACAATGTTCTCATATTCACAATCAGGTCACAGTGAAGAAGAAAAAAGTTAGAAAAAAGGAAAAAGGGAGATATTTCTTTACAAACAACATGAAAAAGAACAGATAAGGTAGCGAGTCAGGTTTGAACTACATGTGTTCAAAATACATATGGCACAGACACCGCGAAGCACAAGTGGCTTTTTAGCTCCTCAGGCCATTTATATCTGGTGTCTTACAGAGCTGTATAATCCTGTTATGTTACCACTCCAAGGGATTTCTGCATGTACTGAGGTGCTATATAAAAGGAAGCTTTGGGAAAGACTTACTGATCTGATTGAGTGTCTCCTGTGGAATCCAACTCATGTCCACATCGTTATGGTTGGAGGTGCCCATCTCCACTTTGGCCACAGGTCGTCTCCTCTGCAGAGAAACACCAGTGAGAGCAGACGTGTTAAACTGATCAGAACATTAATCTGCAGTGATCCTTGGTGACCTTTACCACACCTAACATTCTATGTTCTATCAAATTCTCATACAACTGTTTAGACCAGTGTTTCCCAACCCTAATCCTGGAAGCACAATGCCCTGCACATCTTAGTATTTCCTTTGCTCCCATCACACCTGATCCAATTCACTGGCTCATTAACAACTCCTTACTGAGCTGTAGTGGGTGCGGTAAAGCAGGGAAAACTAAAATGTGCAGGGCAGTGTGCCTGCAAGCAAGCATGAGGCATAAAATATATATATCCTAGGTTCAACATTTACACCTGATTTTATAGGAGAGCTAGCTGTCAAATGGAGTTTTCCAACAAATAGTACTCTGAGCCAATGGCACAAACATAGGTAGCAAAAACATTAACATGTGAGCTCTTTTTCCACAGACATTTTTTGTACAATTTAGCTCTTCTCAATTTTAACGTTCTTCCTGGAGATCTACTTTCCTGATGAGTTTAGTTCCAACCTGCATCTAACATGCTGTCCTTTCCTCACCTAACACCAACGCAAATTCAACCAATCAAGAATTTCAGAAGAAGTTAATTAACTGGAGCAAGTGTAGCAGATTTTGGTTAGAACTAGACTACACAGGAAGGCAGATTAGGACCAGGCCTGGTGACCACCATGTTAACTAAGACAGGCAGCTATTTCCATGTTCTCAGAGAGAAAGTGTCATGCATTGTGGCGAGGAAATCGTAAAATTACAGAGGAGGACATGGTGAACGGTGACAGAGCTACTGAGGAAAACAACGCAAGGCCCGGTCAAGGCATTTTTAGTAGCGTTAATCTGAGCTAATAATGAGTGGTGAATATACTTTTAGAATGCAGAGCTTTCAGGAGCTCATGTTTCAGTATTTTTAATGAATATTTTAGTTTTTGTTCCCATAATTCATTCAGTCAGTTTGAACAAAAAAACAGATTGTTTAGTATGGTTTTAGGCCGTTTACTTCATGTACAAGTGTATGCTTGACCTCAGCTATCAGTACTACACTCCACGGTCCATACAAGGAATGCTTTAATGTCTTATGCTATAATAAGACAATATCTTGGTGCAACAATACAGAATTCAGCTGACGTGCGAGCTCATAGGTGCATATCTCAAGCATTTCACGATTTCAGAATAGTAACTGTTCTGATCTGCTTTATAACTGACATTTTAAAAATGTGTCCTTCTTGCATTTTAGCTTTGTCAGTTAATGATCAATCCCTAAACTAATGAGGGTTGCTCAAAATCTGCATCTATACAGTAATCCCATAATTTGAGAAAAGTTTTATAATTAAAATTGGGTGATGTTACTGGAGCTTCCCTGTAAAGTATTTCATAACATTTACATGACAGCACCAAAAATAGTGCAGGTCACTAATCTTACATGTTATCAATCACACTTCATATTGAATTACTGGAGTTTATCATAAAACTCTTTACCTTCCTGGATTCCAATAGCTGATGCAAGCCAACAACAACCAGCAGTCCAAGTCCAGAGAGGAACACATACATGAAAATCCTGCAAACAAGAGAAAATTCAGATATTCTGTTTCTATAATGGGAAAAAAAATCTGAAGACCATCTGAAGAGCTGAAATAGGAATCTAAATCACACAGACTGAAACGTTTTCGCTTACGTTTCTCCATCCAGCCCATCTTCCTTCTCAGTGATGGTGACAGTCTGGTTAAATACTGCATCTTGGAAAACATTACCCTGTTATTTAAAAAAGAAAAAGACACAAAGGATGAATTTGCACAAGATATACAGCATTCCTTCTTTCTCCTACTAAAACACAATCCAACAATGCAGCCAAGTAAAATCTTCTGTGCATAAAATTAGGTGTGTGCTTTATCTTTTGAAATAGTGTCCATGCTGTCTTATGATTTTTGAAATAGGTCTGGATTAGTGCTGGACGTTTTGGGGAAAATACCACATTTAAATTTTTCTGACTAATATTGCAACTGCAATTTAAATTGAAATTATTTTCTATGTCCTGTTCATAGCAAAGACCACCAGCATGTCCACTTCTGGCTTGAGACTTGAAGGGTGAATGTAATGTGCCAGATTGCCAGTTAGCCGTGGTTGTGATTTTTACAGCACATGAAAGTTAGTTTGACTAACTCATTTGCAGTAAGATCACAATGTTATTATATTAACCATTCCCATCTTAAACTTTGTAAGGCAACCTTGTTCATAATGTACACTATAATTAAATCTGCAGCCCTTGCAATTTGAAAACTGTACTTTCAATTTGCGAGTTTGATATAAATCGATTAATTGTTTGGAAGCATACAGATTAGAGCTAAACACAATAATATGGAAATAACTGAAGATAAACTGATCACCCACTGTCCAGCGCAAACACTACTACAAGGCTCCCCACTCACATTGCTGTCTTTGTAGTTGAGGTTAATGACCAAGCCAAAGGGGCGACCACCCATGGGTTCAGCAGGGATAAAGGAGTACTCGAATGTGGCCTGGCGCTGAGGAGGGACCACTGTGCCCAGCTGCAGAGCGGTGAAGTTCTGGATGTAAAACTGGAAGTCCTGAGGGTAGCGGAATGAAGCATCCAAAGACTCAACCACAAAATTTTCACTGCCTTTGTTGGTGAAACCCAGCAGAAATTTCACAATGTTGTTGGCTGGAAAGTCTAGGATTGAGGGTTAGAGAAAAGCAGTGCAGAGGAAAAATGGTAAGACTAAACATAAAGCATGATTCAATTTTTTTTTCTTTTTTTAAATTGTTACTTCCAAATGGGTCACTGAATCAACTCCAAAATACAGCAGTAATGCTGATAAATGAGAACGCAGCTTACCCTCTCCTTTGACAAAAAGAATGGTTGTATCAGCATTAGGGGAAGGCTTCACCTCCCCCGCTAGTGTTTCTTCCTCCTCTTCATCTTTTTCTTCAGTCTGAAAGATCAAAACCATGATTTATTTGTGTACATACAAAATAATCAGAACTATAGCTGTTAACAGCGGCCCTTACTAATTCTGTGTTGTCATCATCTTCCACCTCTGCTTCATCATCCTCATCCTCTGCAATCACGTCATCGGTCGAATCTTCATCGGCTGCCTCTTCTTCCTCTGTAACATCCTGTGCAGCCACTAATGGGCCTGAAAAGTCAGAAGTATGTAAACAGAATGCCACACTTAAAACAAAAGCATTCTTCACCATGATATTGAGATCTGTTTGGGAACAAGCTGTTTTTCAGGACAATAAACACATTTAGCTATAAGCTTACAAATACATCTTTTGGCAAAATGAAGAACCTCTGTTGCCACTGACAGACAGTATACTTCTGTTGTAGTTCACTTCAGTAGCCTTTGTTGCTACTCCCCACCCCATCCCACCAAATGGAACAAATCATTCTTCTTATCTGTTTGCCTCAAAATTGAAAGCCTTATTTACCACTGTATTTTTAAAGCATGCTCGAATAAAAAAAGTCCGTGTTTTCCATAATATGCTACCCATAGGCGATTTCGCCATTGTGGAATTGAGTAATATCCTCCTGGAGCTGAGGGATGTTGCACAATTCCATGCTGCAGCTCACTGATGCAGCTAGGGCTGGGCAAAACACCCAAACATCTTATTACGATATATTTTCCCACGCTATTTGGTTTTATGTCCAAAGAGTATTTTGTGCATGGAAGAAAACAAGGCTTAACTATATCATTGTTATATATAAAGAAATATATAAGTTTTCAATCATTTGTTACAGCTTTATCGTTATCACGCCTTTTTCTGGCAGATGCCTTCAACATTTCAGCTATCAGCAATGTTAAGATGCCAGTTTACTCAACTGAGGAGCCATCTGGCCCAAATAATCAAGTTTCCTCCACACAAATGTTTACTTCATGGTATCGTCTTTTACTCCTCTTATTTAGAGACTGTTATTCACTTCTAACATAATAGTCACAAATGTACGTAGAGTATTGGTGTATATAGTGCTCTTACACATCCCTCACTCAGCTCCTGTGCTTTATTGGTTCGTTAGCTAACACTGAAAAATTCCGCCTAACTGTGGTTCATTTATATCTTGATAAAAGGAGTTCACTCTAAAACATTACTAATACAGACTCGCGTTTACGGACATGACAAACTCAGCCATCCGGATAAGTGACAGCCCTCACTCGGCTGTGGGGCTGGCTCGTGTTCGTGCTGCTGGTCCCCCGTACAGGCTAGCTAACAGGGCTAACATGCTAAAGCTACCATGTAAGGACACGTCAGTCCAGTCCACAGTGTCTCAGAATGAAACGAGCTAAATGAAGAGTTAGCTTAATGTGAAACTATCAACACCACCTGGAAGTCTTCTACAACCACTAGCCAGAATTTGATCGCCCTTTATGCACTAAATGTAGAGCAGATTAAATGAAAAGCGAGGGTTTAGTTAGGGGAACTCGGCGTGTTTGGACTGTGGCCCAGCGGAGAGGCTGTCTCAGCTAACTTTACTGAGCTAGCGTTAGCGCACTCAGGAAAACATGAAGGACCACAGAGAAGTGTTTTCCACTTAGTGGTCATATACAGTACAAAACATTAAGCATGTAAACACAACGTGAACATTTCTGCACTGAAAACTCAGCGTGTTCAGAGACTTTTCGCAGCGAACTAACAGCTTTTTAGCCAATCAGGCTAAACGAAGAGAAACATCGCCACAGCTCCTCAATTCTCTCAATACGGTAACGATTCGATTCACATGTAACTCACCTTTCACGAAAATTGTTGCCGGGAATGCTAGTAGCACCAGCAGCAATAATTTTGGCAAGAATTTGAGCATTTTCGGTGAAATATAGCCACACCGACACTGAGAGCTGCTCCGCCGCGCTGCGCCCTTCAACTCCAGTAGCGCCAGTAAAAATGCGCATGCGCACTGCTGACGTTAGGGAGACAAACTCGACTGTTAAAGAAACACAGAGCTGTTTATAAACACGGCGATTAACAGTGAACAGACATTAATTTACACCCTATAAAATACACATGTACACTACTTTACCTTGTCAAAATTGCATATTCAATATTTAAGTTCCTATAACATGGAAAACTGGCTGTTTGTAGGGAATTAAAAGTATAATGTATGTAAAATTTTAAAACAGCCTGTTTAATTCTAGTAATTAATAGGTCATGTAAAAATGAAATATTACTGTTTTTGGAACATAAAACTACACAAGCATCATAAGTGGTCCCAAAGAGTACAAAAGTACAAAAATGTAGAATATGGGAGTTTTAAACGACTTTTGATACAGATATTGTTAAGCTTTATTTACTTCATTTTAAACTTAGAACCTTAAAATAGAAACATGACATAAAGAAGCTTACCAGACTGTTTTCCATTTTTATATACATGTATGTATATAAGGTTATACACACATATATAGTGAATTATTTAAATTTCTACATAAATGTGACCTAAAATGTAACCAGATTTTCATTTATGTCATAACAGTCCAATAACACAAATAACACAAGCAATAAACAATTATTTAGTTGTTCTTTCATTTATTTAAAAAAGTGAGCCAACATTAAATGAACCTCTGCTTTCAGTAACTGCTGTGACCCCCTTGAGCAGCAATGAATTCAACCACATCTGTTTCAACCATTCTTTGTAGGTTAACTGGTGTTTTAGGATCATTGTCTTTCGGCAGGACCCACCTTCTGTTGAGGTTCAGTTCATGGACAGATGCGCTAAAATTCTCCTGTAGTATTTTTGACACAATCCAGAATTTTTAACTCCATCAAACAATGGCAAGCTGTCCTGGTCCAGGACCAGTAGCAGCAAAACAGCCCCAAATCATGACATTGCTGCCACCATGTTTCACAGTTGGGATGAGGTTCTTATGCTGAAATGCAGTGTTTGGTTTTTGCCAAACATAACATTTCTTATTTAATAATCCATAGAGATCCATTTTTGCCTTGTTGTTCCACATTACTTCAGTTCTGGCTCTTTCAGGTGGTCTTTAGAAAACTTTGAACAGACAACAATGTTCTTTCTGGCTTTTTTGTGCATTTAAAAAGAAATACATTCATGGCAGAGGGACAGTAAATGTTGCAGGGTGCTGTAAATAGTCACTAAAGAAAACCTTTTTTTTGATCTACCACTATTTTACCATTGTCATAATTACATATAAAAACTCAGAAGGCACGTGTTGGTTCACTGGTCCTTTTGGATAGTATATAAAATCTCTTTTTTTGTGTTGCACACATCACGACCCCTGGTTCCTTTCACCACCACTGTAGAGAATTTCTAAAATTGTTTTGCTACAATAAACCATTTTCACACCAAACCACTCTGAAGGTCTTTTTTTATTTACATCTCAGTCACGGAAAAATGCAGAATTTTTGAACAATTTGGAATTCCTCTCTAAAAGCTGGAGCAGATATCCACAGGACAGCGCAGGGTCTCCCGCAGTGACCCCTCCGCTGCAGCAGGAGGCAGAGGGCGCAGTTCTGTCTGTGTGTCTGTCTGTGGGAGGAGTTTAAAGTGTACCGGAACAGCTCCTGATGAGACGAAGGCGGAGGTTGGATGAGCAGGACTGTGTGTGACTCGTCTAAACAGATCCCCGTTGCAGAGAGATGGAGGAGCTGAGTGTGATGGGCTGCTCTCAGTTTAATGTGGAGCTGAAGACTCTCGTGGACGCGCTGCTGAGGGATGTGTGCGCGCTCGCGGCCCGCTGGAGCGCCGCCCTGCAGCAGCAGATCTCAGCCAGTCAGAGCGAGAACCAGGAGCTGAGGCGCAGGCTGCACGTCCTGGAGGAGACCCTCTCTCACAGGACGCGGAGGGAGAGTGTGGCGCACCCGGACATACAGGACAAACTCCCAGAGCCTGACTGCGGTGAGGAGGGTTTCAGAGAAGCGCACGGGTCGTGTGGCCTCATTAGTGATTGCGCATTACTATTGTTACCCGATTTACTTTCTCCTTTTCCTTATTTTTCTGCCGGATTGTTGTCCGCCAACTCACAGCCCGTTCCAGCCAAGTGAGATGTCATAGCAACCACCTAGCAAGCAACTGGCAACCGCTTGGGATATAATAGCAAGTGCTTAGCAACCCCATTGGATACCCTAGGAACCACCTAGCAACCCCCTAGCATCAACCTAGCAACCACCTGGAGTACCATAGCAACAACCTAGTAACCACGTGGGATACCATAGCAACGACCTACTAGGACCCTAGCAACCACATGGGATACCATAGCAACTGCCTAACAACAGCCTAACAACCACTTAGGATACCATAGCAACAACTTAGCAACACCTTAGCAACCACCTGGGTACCACAGCAACCACCTAGCAACACCTTAGCATCCATCTGGGACGCCATGACAACCACCTAGCCATACAATAGCAACTGCTTAGCAACTCCCTTGGATACCATAGGAACCACCTAACAACCCCCAAGCAACCACCTAACATTAACCTGGCAACAACTTGGATTACCATACCAACAACCTAGCAACCATGTAGGATACCATAGCAACAGCCTAGCAACCACCTAGCAACACCTTAGCAACCACCTGGGTACCACAGCAACCACCTAGCAACACCTTAGCATCCACCTTTGACACCATGACAACCATCTAGCCATACAATAGCAACTGCCTAGCAACTCCCTTGGATACCATAGGAACCACCTAACATTAACCTAGCAACAAGTTGGATTACCATAGCAACAACCTAACAACCACTTGGGATACCATAGCAACCACCTAGCAACAACTTAGCAACCATCTGAGACACCATAACAAGCACCTAGCCATACACTAACAACTGCTTAGCAACCCCCTTGGATACCATAGGAACCACCTAGCAACCCCCCTAGCATCAACCTAGCACCAAGTTGGATTACCATAGCAACAACCTAGTAACCACGTGGGATACCACAGCAACACCCTAGCAATCACATGGGATACCACAGTAACTGCCTAGTAACCACTTAGCAACACCTTAGCCACCACCTGGATACCAGAGCAACCACCTAGCAACACCTTAGCAACCATCTAAGTCACAATGTTAAAGGTGGTTAGAGCTTAGATTGTTGCTGGCACTCATCCAGGAGTACTAGTCTTGTCAAAGTTGTTCCCATCAGTGCTCACAGGACCAGGACAACAGAAGTGTTTAATGCCTTTAAAAGAATCACAGAAAGATATTATTACAAATATGTTGCCTGAGACGCCCTTTCAGGGCGGAGGGGTACACACAGGGTGTGAGGCAAAGTAGTTAAAATAGTCCCCAAAGATTTTACCATTATCATCATTACATACCAAACCTCAGAAGACGTGTAGGTTCACAGGTGGTTTTGGATATTTAATGAGATGGTTATATTTGTGCTGTAGATCTCACAGCCCCTGGTTCCTATCACCACTGTAAAGAAATCAGAGCCAGTACGTCTCTCTACAGTTAACCATTTCACATCAAACCACTTTGAGTGACTTTAGTTTCGGGCAGAAATTTTGAAAATTTGGTAAAATTCGCACTTTAAAGCAGCATGCTTGGACGGCTAGCTGGAGAACAAATATTTCAAATAGCAATAAGAACAATATTCCAGACTTTAGAGTTAACTGACTGGTATGTTTATATGATACAATTCAACATTTTCCAAACACATTACAGGGTTTGATTATATTTAGTAGGGATGCATGATGATATCAGAGTTGTGTTGGTATCAGCAGATATTTGTTGATATTATTATTATCATCGCCGGACTGATTAGTATATGACCAGTATTTCAAATTGATAATTGATGATGTATTTATTAAATTCCAGAAGAGCAGAATGTTTAGGGGATGCCAAAATATGTGTGTTTGATTTAATTTACTGCACCATTAATCTACAAATAAGTGGTGCAGTTCTCTGTAATGTAAATACATGTGGATTTGGTTGCAGTGTTCACATATTATAAATGTGGGTATACTGGCATCAACATCAATGTGTATAAAAAATGATATGCATATATATGACAAATATTACATATTAGCACAAGCCCAGAACCCCCGATTTGATGCATTTCTACTATTTATTTAGGTTTGCATGAATCAAACCCATTCCTCCTGAGTTACTACTCTATACTAAAAGAATAAAATATTATATTATTATATTTTATTATATTATATAATCTGACATAAGTTGTTTTGACTGAACTGTTTAGTTCTGTTTTCTTCTTTTAAAATTACACCAAAGGAAACTACTAAATAGTGTAAACAATAAGACAGAAAACATCTCTAGGAAGGAATCAGCTCTAGGAAGCTGTTTATTTAATTGTTATGGATTTTAAACTGTTCTTTCAAACAATCTGAAGCACCCAGTAAATGACATACACTGTAATCAGCTACTAGATCCTAAATACGATGAGGAAAGTGCACAAAGTAGAATTTAAAAACTATAAACAAACCCCTTGGCAACAATGATGCTGTTATTTTGTGGACTCAAATGTTATAATGGATTTAATGCTCATTATCTATCAATACTTTTAACTCCAAAATGCAATATCATGGTGTATCAATATCCATAGTATACCAATATAGATGTAGGCATACCATTATAGATATACCCAGCTGTAATGTTAATGCTAATAACTGCACTTTAGAAACAGCTTTTTACTTTGGGCATTCTCAAAAAGGCATTAAAGGTACATCAAGCACGAATGTGAACATGATATGTTGGCAATTTTTAATGTCAGTTCGTCAATTTTATTTCTCCTTTTTATTTTCTTCAGAGTGTGCAAAAAACACAAATATGGAGACTGAACATACAGATCTCAAAGTAGGTCAGTGGGTAAGTATCAGTCGAGTATTATCTGAAAATCAACAAACCTTAAAAAGCCATTAATCAAATTGTGTGTGTTTCTTCTCATGTCTTGAAGTCGATTTTCCACAAATGACGCTTCTAGTTAGCTCTTTAAAGTATCTGATGATCAGCAAGGTTTAATGTTCATATATGTGTAATTAGCAAGCTAGTGTTATGAATTCCTTTTGCATTCTGGCTAGTGGCATTCTCTCTCAGACAGTGTTAATGGAGAGATTCTACTGGGAGAATATCAGGACACTGGTACTTCCTTACTGAAGAACTGTAAAACTTCTGTCAGGTTTGTTGCTGAGTTTGTTTTTTTTTGTTACACAACTTCTTATCTACTTGTGTGGTCCTGCAGAGGAGGATAAAGGAGGAAGAGGTGGAGATATCTGTTACTGGCAGAGCAGTGCACAGTCTAGATGGTAAGATCAGTGCACAAATCACTCATTTAATTCAGGTTTTCTTGTGATTCATGGTATCATTATGTCTGACAGGGACAAAGTATTCTTTAAATTCTAACTGACCCCAGATTTTGAGTCGTTATGTTGGTATTTGTTTCCTTATTTAATTTTCAGAAAGCTTTATCTTTTTATAACATTTAGAACCCACCAGAACCTAGAACACTCAGTTCAGAGTTGGTGGCTCATTTATCTCCGCTTTAAACCAATTTCTTTTTTCATAAAAGCAAGAGAAAATGGTAATTACCTAACAGTGGACTTGATATTGACAGAAACAAAATATATATGTTAAGTTCTCCAATATTTATGTAAAGCTCATTTAATGATGAGTTTCTCATTTTTAAGAGATGCGACAGTTGAAAACTGACAATCATATCAGTCAGTAAAGCACCATTTAACTAAAACTACTGCAGTACAAAATTAGTACAGTCATGTGAAATAGTTTGAACACACCTGGTCAAATCACGGTTTTATAAATGAAAATAAGTTAATACGTCCTCTACACTGATGTGTCCACTACAGATCCAAAATATTGCATTTTTTCTGCACATTTCAGTGCACAGTTTCTATTTAGTTAAATATATTGGAAAAAACAAAACCAAAAACATAAAATGTGCCATAGCTACAGGTGACATTTTTTTTTCCCCCAATATTTTAATGTCAGCAAATAAACATGAATTGTGTTTTTATAATGAGTAGTAGTGTGTTCTCTGTAGAGAATATATAACTTATTTTCACTTAGAAAATCAACAAAACACCTCACAAGAGGTGCCCAAACTTTTGCATGAGACTGTATAAAGTTGTTTCTTCCTTTATTATCGGTTTTCTGGCAGTAAAAATGCAGTATGTAATAAATGCTTCTTCATACTTCTTTCTTACCAGCATCACGCATTGATGTACTTCATACTACTACGGATACTGAAGAGAACTGTCAGCTTTTGGACCTGAAGACTGAAATTGAGGGCAGCACTGAGCCTGAGATCCGAGAGCCAGAATCAGAGCACAATGTAGACGACAGCGCAGACAGTGAAGACGATGCTCAGGACTGTTTGGTTGTTGATGACGACTGTGAGGCTGAAGATCAAAGCACACACCATGGTCACCTCTCTCCACCTAAAACAGAAGAGGAGGAGAAGGAAGAGGATGGAGAGAGAGATGAAGAGCAGGAACAATTTGGCACTTCGCACTTATTGATATCTGATCTACAGCGTAACTCCATACCTCTGCCTAATAACTCTACCAGCTCAGACTGCAGCATGTTTGTAATGCTGGAGGGAAACACTAATGTATCCACTACAGATCTGAACGATCAGTATTCCGATTTAGCAGGGAGAGCCTCAGGTCCCTCCAACAGTAAGAAACAGAAAGGACCTAGATATATTTGCAATATATGTGGGAAAAGTCTGTCGTCGAAATATTCTCTTACTGTTCATTTCACGATGCACACTGGAGACAGGCCGTATGCGTGCACACAGTGTGGAAAGAGATTCGTTAACAGGACTAACCTACAGATCCACCAGAATATCCACACTGGAGCAAAACCCTATGTCTGCACGCTCTGCCCCAAGTCCTTCGCTGACCCAAGCCCTTTCGGGAGACACATGAGGATGCACAGCCGGGAATTACAGCAGAGCAACCACAGTCCTAAATGTCAGTTCATTTGTAATATCTGTGGGAAAAGTCTTTCAACCAAACAAGGACTGTCATACCACATCACGATGCACACTGGTGAAAGGCCCTACACATGCACTTGGTGTGGGAAGAGTTTTGTTCAGAAACATAACTTAAAAATCCACCAGAATATCCACACTGGCGCAAAACCCTATGCCTGCACTCTCTGCCCAAAGTCCTTCGCTGACCCCAGCAGTCTTAAGAAGCATAAAAGAATGCATGTGTAGAGTTGAAATTAAGACTGAAGGTTTAATGATTTGGATGGAAATTTTAGATTAGACATAGATTATAAGTCCAAAAGTTTGTGGACATGTGCTCATTTACATTTCTTCAGAAATCGAGGGTGTTAATAGTGAGTTTGTCTGTCTTTGCTGCAGTAACAGCCTCTAGGAAGGCTTGTGAGGATTTGATTGCATTCAACCACAAGAGCATTAGTGAGGTCGGGTACTGTTTAAATAGGTCTGATCACAAACTCCATTCCAACACATCCAAAAATTTATTGGATGGAGCTCCATAACTCCCGAGAACAGTTCCACTGCTTCACAGCCCCATGCTGTGGGGCTTTAGACCCCTTCAACTCACACCTAGGATTAGATGCACAGATCTTAGGTTCATGTGCAGCTTCTCCAGAGTGTCTTATTCTTGTGACAGTTTTCCATGGGAATTGCACAATTATACATCTTTAAGGGGAATTCTGCTTATTTCTCAAATTTTCTGCATTGTAGAGAAAATTCCAGACTCTGATTTCTTTACAGCGGAGGTGTTAGGAACCAGGGTGGTGAATTTTTTTTTTGAAACATAAGGTTGGTAACTGTAAAATAGTGTTAAATCTGAAAAAATACATTTTGTTTAGGTACTACTTTGCCTTACAATGGCCTACATGTACCTCTCTGCCATGAAGAGATAAAAAAAAATGGCCAAAAGCTTTTCTAAAAACTGCTGTAGGACAATGTCTCAGGCATCAGAGTGTTCACATCCATTTCATAGAATAACTTTCTCTGAGTGAGATTTTAGAGACTTTACATGCTTCAGAGGTCTGTAAGTTTCTCGTGTCAAACGACTGCATGGCTTTGAACCATTTAATTTTGCAGAAATTTTGAAAAAATGATGGAATTTCACTTTAAAGTGGCTGTTTAGAAGACATGTCTGGATACTTTTGGACATATAATGCAGCTGAGTTCACGTTTCTGTTAAGTTTTACAGTATTCTGTTGTCTTCATTAGCAGTAAGTCTTTGAGCAGTTTTACCCTGATTTCTCTCAGTGTTACTGAACTGATGTGCAGTCACCAAACCTATTAGTGGATGATTTCACTTTCCTGTAGTAGCAGTTGATACGTATATAGATTATGTTGTTTTTTTCTGGCAACCTCACCACACTTAGCGGTTCTCCTGTTTTGGTTTTTAGACTGGTTAATATATAACGACATGATTTTCTGACTTTGCGCTGGTTCTTAATCTTAGCTCAAAAATAAAACCTAATAGGCTACTTAATGCGGTTCTCAGCATGTTCTGTTCTAAAGGAGTGAAAATCAAATTAGCAGACTTTGATCTTTATCTGAGCCAGGAATGGTCAGCTGTGGGCCGTATTCATGAAGCTCTGAGTAGGACTGCTGATCTGGGTCTATTCCTGTCAGTAAAGTCAGAGTAAAGAAGACTGGAATCTGATCTTTGAAGATGTGTGAATGCAGGCTTTTTTTTCTTTTTATAGAAAGAATTGTACAGTGTTTTTCAGTCGTTGCCCTTAATAGACATTAAAAAATCATCTACAGTCAACTGTGAGTCTCTGAAGTCTCTGAAAGTCTCGCACTAGCAAGAAGAGCCTGGGTTTGATTCCCCGGCCAGGCACCCAGGGTACCCCATGTGTGGAGCCTGCATGCTCTCCCAGTGTCTGCGGGGGCTTCCTCCCACAGTCCAAAGACATGCTGTCAGGCGAACTGGAGGTGCTAAATTGCCTCTACGTGTGAATGTGATGACCCAGGAGGAGGATAAGTTGCATAGATTGTGTGTGTATGTGAGAGAGTGAGTGTGTTGCAGTAAATGCAGTAAAATAGGACTAACTTTCCTCTCTTTACAATGAAACATGCAGTTGGTCAGTGTTCAGTGTGGTAGGGCTTGACAATATCCCCGATATGTTCAGTTGTATTGACATAATTGACCACGATAGCGATATATATTGTTACATTATCCAGCCCTACCATACACCTACTTCAAAGGATTAATATTTTGGTTTAGACCTGTTAGCTAAGGGTAAAAAAAATATATTACTCAATTACAAATCATTACTGGACCGGGATTAGTACTGTATAAGCCCACGTTTTAAATATGAAATATCGCGCAAGATAACATTTGACAAGACTGGAAACACTGGACGTCTTTTATCTCGGCTTTCTGCGTGCAGTTTCTCCGCTCGGCCAACAGGCGGCGCGAACCTCAGTCACTGCTAGGACGATAAAGAGAGAAGAAGAACACAGAGAATAAGGCTGTGTCCCAATTGGGGCACTTGTGTGCTGTGTACTCTTACACTATCTGAAGTACAGAGTCACTCTGGTAAGAACTCCACAGTATGATGATGATCGGGGCTCAGAAGAGCAGGTGCTGCTTGCGGGGCTAAAGTCCTGATCTGACTGAAAAACATGAAAATGGACTCTGAAATGTGCTTTTACAGTGAAAAACCTAGTGCTGATTTAAGGGGTGAATATCAGTGTAGATCTGGGACAACAGGGAGGTGGAGTTGGGCATGAATCATTCCAAGCTATAAAACAAACATATGTTAAAAGAGACATTAATGAGTAAAATTATCCCCAGACATCACAGTATAATTCAACACTGGCTGTTTCTACCTTGGTGACTACAATATAGGTAAGGGGATGAAAAGTTCAGTTAAGTGTGAACTGTTGCACACTAGAGGAGGGGTGTAGAGAAGGTTGTATGCCTCTTTGTCTCTTCCTCGTGCGTCTTAATGAAATGATCGTTTTACATAACTCACCTCTAAATACATGCACATTATAAGCTGTGCAGTTAAAGCATTAAAATGAAATTAATAAAAATGTTTTTTTCCTGGTTCATTTAAATAAATTAATATTTAAAAGCAAACAGATAACAGTAACAATTAAACTGTACTGGTATGTATTCAACAAATATAGCAGAAATATATGTGTGATCCATACATTATGCATGTTCAATATTTCAGACTTATTTCAGACACGTATGTACACAACATATATGCCCATATATCAGATTTCCGTCAGTGTTCTGTCCTACTGCAGCACTTGATCTGCAAAGGGCCTGAGTGGCTGCAGGTTTCCATCCCAAACAAGCACACCTGATTCTACCTGTTTATTCAGGGTTTTTTATGGTTTTAGCCTTCAGACAGTTGATCATGTGTGCTGTGAAGGAGTCCGCAGAGCCACGACGGACCTCGGCGGATCAAAGCGGATCCCCCAGTTCTAGAGCTGTACCGCCCTCCAAGTGCGGAAATAGAATTCTGGCCAGGCGAAGCTGGAGCACTAGGTTGGTGCCCTAAGTAGGACAAAGACGCGCTTATTAGAGCACAGCCGAAGGGTTCCTCGCCGACGTCTTGTTGACTGAAACTGCTTCAGAGAGCTGAGAGCGAACTCAGTCGTCTGTTAAACAACAGTTCTGAGCGGATAACTTGTTGAATGTGAATTAGTTCCTCTTTTGGAGAGAACAGTGCTCTACAGAACCATGGTGGAGTCCCATTTTCAGATCCAGCTCACCGCCATTCTGGACGTGTTGATGAAGACAGCGGTGTCGGACATCTGCGCTCTGGCCGACAGCTGGGTTCAGTCTTTACAGACGGAAATCAGGAGAAGCCAAAAGGAGAATGAGGACTTAAGACAAAGACTGTACAGCATGAAACAGCAGCCTCCGGCTAAACCACCGCAGGAGGAGAGCCGGAGCAGCGAGGCCGAGGAGGCCGCTAGTGGTGAACTGAGTGACGGTTAGTAGGAGAGCCATCACCGTGAAAGCTGTTAGCTGGAGGTGTTGTGAGTGTGGCTCCTCAGCTGTGGTCTGCATGTGAGAGTGGAAGAACACTCCGGAAGAAGTCCAGAAGTGTCCGGACATTCATTCTGAATGAGTGAATTCAGCTACTTTAAGGCGCACTCGTTGCTAATACAGGTGTTTACTTGCTCACACACAGTTTGTACAATGTCCATAGAGAAGCATTGCCAATAGATGAGGCTCTCTGAAGCAGATCATGAGCCTGAGATCACCATGCCCAATGCCAGGCCTCAGTTAAAGGGGTATAAAGCCCCCCAGCATTTGGCTGTGGAGCAGTGCTTCCCAGTCCTGGTCCTGGAGGCACACTGCCCTGCACGTTTTAGTGTAAGGGGTTGTTATTGAGCTAGTCTGGCCTTCCCAGAATGATCTTGGCACAAAGATGTTCTTAAATGGTAGAGTGAGGATTACAATGAACCAGGTAAGATGATCTTGGTTCTAAGACATTTCTAGGAAACTGGGCCCAGATTAGTTGGATCAGGTGTGTTGGAAGCAGTAAAAACACAAGACGTGCAGGGCAGGGTGCCTCCAGGACCAGGGTTAAGAAAAACACTTCTCTGGAGTGATGGAGCCCCATCCAGTATCTTTGGGATGAGTTGGAGTGGAGTTTGTGATCCAGAACTGATCATCCAACATCAGTACCGGACCTCACTAATGCTCTTGTCGCTGAATGCAATCAGATCTTTACAGCAATGTTCCAACATCTAGTGTAAAGCCTTCTTGGAAGAGTAGAGGCAGCAAAGAGGGACAAACTCGCTATTAATACCCTTGATATTAGAAGAATCACTAGAGGAGCAGGTGTCTAGAAAATGTGGAGAGAACTTTAGAGAACAGCAATGACTGGAAATGGGAGCTATGATTAGCAAGAATGGAAAACAGGACAATCCGTCAGCTTTTTTAACAGCAGAGCCAAGTCCTCAGGGATATTTACCATCAATCAGCTTTGCCCCAGCAGTTGACTCTGGATTTTCCAGTCAGCTTCAACAATCCTCCACCCTTTTTCACAAAATCTAGAGGGTTTGTAAATCTGTAGAACTAAAGACTTCTCACAAATATAGGCCTAATGAAAGTCCAAACGTTTAGATACCTGCTCATCCAGCAGTGCCATTCTGTTGACCGTACATTTCTAGGTAGACTATACAAACTGTGTTTGCACCTCTGTCAGTAATGGATGGGTAAAGTAACTAAAGTAGCTGAATTCACCACTTAGAAGGGGTGTTTAGATACGTTTGGTCATAAAGTGAATTTCCGTTTTTTAAGTGTCAGGACTGCAGTCGAACACAAGGAGGCAGCAGCTGTTAACTCACTGTTAGTGAGTCAGTTTTCTTATAGGTGGGCCTGCACAATATGGACAGAAGGTCATACTGTATTCATATTGCTCCAAAAGGTGATTGTGTGCCAGAGAAAGGACAATAATAAAGAACAGAGTGTTTCAAACTGCACATCAGACAGAATCATTACAAATCTCACTGCAGATCCCAGAACAAATGACTGGTATCTGCTGATGCGCTGCTTATGCAAGTTTCAGGATTTGCCCAGACTCCTGACTGTTCATTTTTGGTCAGATGTTAACCAAGCAGTCTTTTATTATTTGATTGTGTCTGTTCTTTTCTGCAGACTGTAAGGAAATGGTGGAAAACTCAGAGACTGAATCTGCAGTGCCCAAAAGAGGACAGTGGGTGAGTGTTTAAAGTCATTTTGGTGTAAGACGGATCCAATCGAACATAACACGAATATGCCATAACATAGCAGCAGATTACAGCTAAATTTAATTAGAAACAGAGAAGAGAAGAGGTTTTTATATCATTCACTGTTCTGTTTATCAGCAGACATTGTCTCTACAGTCAGGGGTAATTCATAGAATTAGAAACAATGTAGTGGATTTGGATTTGATGCAGAAGTGGAGAACCCATTAGAAGGTAGCAGGTCCTTTTAGGCTTGCACTGATATCCAGACAGGCAACTGAAGTGAAACATGGAGTCTTGGCACTAATGTGTTTATTTATTTTCTTTTTAGTGCGTCGTGCTGCAGAAATGGAACCCTGCACTAGTAGGAGCAAAAGCGGAGGTGATGGACAGATCCATTAGCGAAAGAGAGGAGGAAAAGCTGGATGGTACGAATGAGCCTAAGAAACTCACACCACTATTTATTAAAATATAATTACCAATAAATCAGTAATTTTATTTACATTGTCAGTAAACGGCAGTTAAAACATCAGCAAATTTGAACCAAGTGGTAAGATGTGATACAGTGAGCCTCTGTTGGTGCTGTCATATCACAATATCCTAACTCCATTTTACTGTGTTTTTTTTTAACACACAATTTTAAAACATCAGCTGGTTTTTCATTCAGTAATGTTCTCTCACTACAATACCCAGCATGCATTATGCATATCCCTCATACTGGAAATCTCAATGGTATCAACAAATCCTGACTGCAAGTCTAGTCACTGATCTACAGACTAAAACAACCAAGTTAGCATTATTGTAACTCTTCAATCATTAAATCTTTAAATCATTTTTACAAAATGGATACCATAGATAAGTTTTTTACACTTTTAGCCATAAAAAAGGAGCCAAACGGAGGCACCATATCTGAATAGTCAGGTAGTGACCTTGCTAACTTTTAGGCTTAATCTCATTAATCTTCTCATCTCAGTCATTTCTGTTGTCAAACACAATTATACTGTTGTAATATTTAGTGACCTAGTAGTACATCAGAAGGGTTTTTTCCTAATCTTTCTACCAAAAAATCTAATGCAGCACCACTGCAAATCAAGATATGAGTAGCCATGTTTACAACACAGATTATTAGATTATTTTATGGAATTTAGTACATTTCTCTGTGATTCTCTGTCCCTAGCAACACCACCTGATGCAGTTTATACGCCTGTTTGTCCAGAAATGGAAGTAAACCACCCACTTTATGAAATCAAGACTGAAACAGAGAAGGCTCTACCTGCTCTCCAGAAGTCAGAATGCAGTCCAGACATCAGTGCAGACTTTCAAAATGAGCCCGAAGAACCTGCAGTGATGAGTGAAGAGAATGAGACAGAAAGCATTCAACATGTTCCACAACCTAAAAGAGAAGAGGAGGAAGAGTTTGACATCTCCTGCCTGCTGACACCTAATCTACAGCTCAATTCCACACATCTGCTCAGAGAGAACCATACAGAGTCTATAAACTCCGACTGCAGAAGGAATTTCAAATTTGGACAGAGATTTTAATTTATCAGTGCCAGCCCCAAATGAGGAACATTTTTCAGAAAGAACCTCAGTTTCTCTAACGTGTGATAAACAGATAGGGGGTACGTTTATTTGCAATATCTGCGGGAAAACTCTGACGACCAAAAGATCATTTATTTGTCACTTGAGATTGCATACTGGAGAGAAGCCCTTTGCATGCACTCAGTGTGGAAAGAGATTCGCCAAGAAATTTAACCTCGACATCCACTACAACATCCACTCTGGAGCAAGACCCTATGTCTGTACTCTCTGCCCGAGGTCATTCGCTGACCCAAGTGCTTTTGGAAGACATAAGATGATGCACAGAAAGAAATCACAGCCGGACTCCTATAGCCCTAAGTGTAAATTCATTTGTAACATATGTGGGCAGAGTTTTTCATCAAAACCCTCACTTGCTGTGCATTCTAAGTTGCACACTGCTGAGAGGCAGCACGGTGTACAGAAGGTTTTGCTCAGAAACATGCATTAAAAATTCACTACCCTACACTGCAGTCTCTGTCTGGGGTCTGGTCAGAGATCTATACTAGAAAAGTATACTTTCACATTCTGTTTAAAGCTTGTTTATGTGTCCGTCTCCTAATTTAAACTTCATAACAAAGCCATGAGTGGGGATAAAGAGACACCCAGAAAGTGTTCAACTGCTTCAAAGAAAACAAACGATGGGACGATGGGAACATTTCCCATCATCTTCAATCATCAGTGACCAAAATGTTTACGGTTTTTGTATTGTTGTAGTATCGTTAAATAAAACGGGCATTTGATACACATTTGTATATAGTTATTATATTCATAATCCTTTTATTGAACTTCTTGTATTTCTTTATATCACTAGAAATCAACTACAATAGAAATAAATGTATAATTTTACACACCTATCAGAATTATTACAGTTTGAAACAGTTTGCTTGTCTTTGGGTTTTCTTTAAAACCTGTAATCATCCCATCCTTTGTTGACCTGTTATTACTCCATATCGCAAAAAGAGTTTTCATTGTTTCATATGTTGGATAGAGGATTTAGAATCAGCTGCTGTTGACACTTCTTTCATCTTTTGTTTGTCCACTGTTTTTTGGGAGAAAAAGTTCGTTGTCATTTAGTAACCTGGAAGTTACCGATACGTGAATATTGGACATAATAATGGCTTTTCTAGTGTATAAAAAAACAGCCAATCAAAAGTAAAGCCTTCTCATTAAAGATGTGTATGTATTTTTAAATTAATTAGAAATACATTATGTTGCCATGTCAGTAACAATGAATTAGGTTCTTCATTGTGTTTGAGTTCATCATAGACTGGAGCAAAATGAAACGTGCATCAATTGTCCTTCTAACAAGTCCTGCTGCTGCGTTTTGATTACATTTGTTAATCTTTAATGCTTTGGTCTTTAGAGAAAACAGTAAATACCAAACACATGAAGCAATTTGAGGCTTTTATTTAATCATCAGTAGATCAATGGATTAAAGTTCAGGCACCTCAAAAACCTAATGTGAGTTATTGGTCCACTCTTGAAGTGGTAAACCTCACATAAGCTTTTCTGTCTTTAAACTGAGCGTGCAGGTCGGGGTCTTCATCACCCGTTCTATCCATCACTCTCTTTGTTTGCTCACAGTTCAGAGCGAAGCCTTTCTCATCACGGTTTGGCCATGGATTAGCTTCATTTTTCTCACTGCAGTGTGATGTTGGCTGATGGGCCACAGTTTTGTCCTTTGTTAAATCCTTAGCTCTGCTCTGACTGTAGTCCAGATGGCAGCAGTGTTTCTCCCAGCAGTGTCGGCGCAGTTGTTGCACAGTGTGGACTAGAGCCTGGTTTTGCTCCCTCAGCTGCAGGATCTCTTTATCTTTCTGACGGCGACTCTCTGTGGCCAGTCTTAGTGCCCACTCAGCCACCTGTCACAGAATACACAGGAAATGAAATGAGTGCAGTCATCCTACTGTGTCTTTTTCCTGTTACTGTTGGTTTTGCATCAGGGTTTCCATGACACATGAAACCACTCTGTGGCCCTTTAGTGACAGCTTCAGTTGTAAATACACCATGGATTGTATTAGGATAATGCAATTTTACTAAAGCCCACAGCAGTGGTTCTCAAACTGGTCCTCAGGGACCCCCAGATGGTCCATATTTTTACTCTATCCCAATTCACAACATTGGCGTAAAGCAAAAAATATGGATTGTCAGGGGGTCCTTGATTTGAGTGGTGGTTTGAGAACCACTGGCCTGGAAGATGGTAAGATTATTTTTGTTAAAATAGACAGAACTAGCATTTTAGTTGCTAAAATATGGTGCGCGTGCACTGCTGCGAATCACCCTGTAAAGCCTGAAAGAATCATCTACAAGTCAGAGGTGTTGGGTCAGATTTCGCAGGAGTTTTTTCGGACCCACAGCCTCAAAAAGAAGGTCCGGCTTGATGTTTAGATCTCAAAAGTAAAACAAATTCTGATGATACGATGACAGTAGATAATTCTTTTACATCCTCAGAAGACACATCCTTCACCAGGTTTTGACTGAGTTCTCTTTAAATACTCTTTCAACTAATCAGATTCATCTGCTCAGAAAAGGGGCCTGACGATACAAAATGTTCTTCCACTTGTTGCGTGCAATTACATAATTCCACCAGAGATGTCTCCAAATCCCCAAATCTTACAGAGTGTACCTCTAGTAACAACAACTTTTATGCTGACAAAGTAATAGCTAATCTTACTAACTGCTGTAAAGGGTTGAACAGCTGTGCTTATATTGAATTGAAATTGGAAGGAGTGCAAGTTCTAAATCACAAGAGATGAAGTTTAAATTATGTTCTAGATCAGTGGTCACCAATCCTGGTCCTGCATATCTACCTTACTGCAGAGTCTAGTTCCAACCACAGTCTGCTGCACCTGCTCTTACTAATTCATTTCTTCAGAGGTCCTTGATTGGCTGGATCAGATGCATTAGTGCTAGATGCAGTTAATTAACTCTGCAGGAAAGCAGATCTCTAGGAGGAGATCTCTATTTTAAGTGGGAAATTTTAATCTAATAATGAGAACTTGGGAACTGGCAGTCTGGCACACACCATTCTGTGCTGAAAAATGTGTATGTTGGTCTTTTTGGAAAAAAAATGAAAAAAACAAACCACACAAAAGGCCTGGCGCTTTACTTACAGAAAATAATCACATTTAAAACGCAATTGCAAGATTGTGAAGAAAAATCGCAACTTGTTCAGCCGTACTACTGGAATAATTAAATGTGCTGCATGTGACTCTGATCATTTTTCAATGGTCAAGTTACACAAATTACATTTCAATGTTAAAATATTTTCTACAAAGACCAAAACTCAAAGAATGTCTTTGATTATTTTACAAGCTAGTTTTTTTAATGTATAAAATCAACCACTCTTGTAAGTGTGGGTGGACAGTGATCACCTGTGTCCGCTCCAGCAGAGCTGACTCCATGTTACGCAGCCGGCTGTTCTCCAGCTGCAGCTGTCTCACTGTGTTCTCAGAGTGGGTCAGACACTGGTTTACATGCTGCAGGTGAATGACCTCATCTCTTAGGTTAAGTGTATCTTTCCACAGGGCCTGTTTAACTGCGTCAGGTGCCTTATCTCTGAAAACCTCCACAGTGCCATCAACTGCCATTCTAATCTGAGGGTGGAAGACACGGCACGTCAGCAACAACACAAGTTGAGTGGACCCCTCCTTGGAAGTTTGCTGGTGCAGACCACTTGTAGTCCTTCACGTGTGACTGAAAGATTATTATTAGTATATCATTAGTATTAGATGCTATAAATTCCAGTAAATTTCATAACATCACATCATCAAATCATCACATTCCAAAATCTTTGCATAATTCTATCAGTCTGTGACCGACTGAGTGTGAATTTTAGAGTTCTACAGGAAAAACTTTTCAAGGCCAACTAAATTGGTCTTCTGCAAAAGTTTGGGCCCCCTCCAAACACAAATGATGTCTGGGAACCTAGCAGACGTTTCGGTCATACTTTCACAGATGCTAGAATTGTTAATAAATTATCTGGTGAAACTCAGTTAATTATGTATAGTGTTAAGAAATAATGTCAGGTATGGGATTAGCTTTAGATATTGGGCTAAAGTTTAGGTCAAGCTTAGGCAAATACAACTGCAGCACAAATACAGGCATTTTATTTACTTTCCAAAACAACCAGTGAACCTACACATGAACTTTATTAGATAATGCTCAGATTGGTAAAATAGTAGTCATTCTTAAAAAAACACAAGTTCTTTGGGGACTATGTTGCTGTTTCGACTCCCTCTCCATACCTCTCCGGACCTCACATTTTAGTCTAGCTCCAGTAGCTGCTCAGTTTAGGCTACAGGCTCCATAGTAGGCAATATTAGTAATTAGATGAGAAATTAAAACTATATTTTGTTACCTACTCATACTCACACTATAACCAGCATATTGAAGGTAAAGTATCATGTAGCTGACATTATTTAGAAATCAGCAGGTACATTAGACTGTATTTTGTCTCATTAACTGTATGAGTAGCTGCCTTTCCTGTTCCCGGGTTTGCTACAGACAGCCTTTTATAACATATGTTTATTGTGTGCTTTTACAGTAATCAGTGAAGACAGACATGCGGTAGAGAGAAAGAGAAAAGTAAATGAAATAAAATCATTTTGAGCAATTAGCTTTCAAATTAATTTTTCAAAATAAACATACAAATTAATAGTTATAATAATAGTTAAAATAATAGTTAAAATAATAGTTATCTGATTAATTAAATAAACAGGATAACTGGAATCAAATCAGTTTATGCAAGAGTAATAGCACAGAAGAATGGAGGGATGGGGAAGGAACAACTGGAAGGAAAAGGTGCATAACAGTTATGGATGGGTAAAAAGAGCAATGATTTGGTTAAAAAAAGACAAACCTAAAGGAGAAACTTACAGCTGGTGTAATACTCATATTTGGCAGTTAGTTTATTCCCTATGAAATGCAAAATGCAAAATGGACCTCACTCAAATTCTGATCCTAGTTACGGCCCTGATTTTAGTCCCCCTAAAGTCATAATTTAAAAAAATAATCTGGTGTTGAATAATAAATTGTTACATACACTTGCGTATTATTATGTCCTGGTAACTACTAAAAATGGCATAGAGGCATCCCTACATCTTAACACTCAAACATGATTGTGCATGATTATGCAAAAATATGAACACCCCCTTACCTCCCAGTTTCCAAGCTCCGCTTATTCCCATTCGCTACCTGGCATGCTGTGCTTTTACCTTTGACAAATGGAGAATACAGCCCTATTTGAACAGACTGAACAGATGAGATGTAGCAGACACACCACAGAGCAGGTCAGATTCTGTCACTCCCAGTACCAGCCACTCACTTTATCCTCCACACCCGCATACATCTAACCTGTGTTGTGGTGTGTTGTTTAGTCTGCTCACTAAGCTAACGCTAGCTTCTGATGCTATAGGACAGTACAGAAGAAAATTAGCATAGCTAACTGCTCTACATAAAAATAACTCACTGCCTCACTGGATCGAGTCTTTATCTTTAAAAGTCGCATCAGTGAAGCGTCTGAGAGTCAGAATTGAACCTGTGTTGTGAAGCTATTTATTGGCCTGCTAGCTAAGCTAACGAACTGCTTATTTCTGGTGTACTAAGAAAGCCTGTTTATAATGGGAAAATGCTAACTGTCCACTATGGTACCACATTTAAAACACATCAGTCTATAATAATAATAATAATAATAATAATAATAATTCATTTTCTGTTTTCCCAAGTTTAACACTCTCCATTTCCCAGGCTGCATAATGAGAATCACACCTCTCAAGCAGACAGTGAAGCTCACATTTAGAAACACCAAACAATTGGGTTTTTTTATTTGTAACAATTAAGCCACATTACAAATTTTCAAGGGAACTTTAAATCAAAATGAACAGGGAGCACAAACACAGAGAAGGATGTGCTCTTGATTGTCCAGCTTTACTTAAATCACACTTTATATGAATCATTCAGTTCATTTCATTCTGATCAGAAATAGTCTAGCATGGTTTTATATGTGTAATACACAGTTCTGTCTTGGCTGATATCTGTCTGACCGCTGAGCTACATTCTTGCCATGTCCAGTCTTACTTAACCTAGAAAAAAAAAGAACAGCCCAGAGAGAACCTAGCATATATACATTAAAGTAAAAGGTTTTAACTGATCAAAACACACACACAGATGTAGCTCCTTGTCTTCTTTAAGTCTTTTATAAAACGTCAAAGGAGTAATTCACAGTGATTAAATTACAATTATCCTGTGAAACAGTTTAAGTTTTACCTCTACGACTATGAAAACACAACTCTTACTGACGTCTCAACACATTTCTGCAAAACTGCATGACAGATATTACTTAAACACTTTACACTATGAACCCTTTATCATTTAAATAAAAAATCCAAATCCCCCCCACAAAGAGTTGCCAGTACCACAATGAGTGACTTGTCACCAACACATTTGTCTTCAAACAGAACTACTCTACACAATCAATAGCAGAATCTAATTCCTTTTGATTATGTCAGAAGCAATATATAATTTTTGGCATGCTAGTAATACTTGTTAGTTATTTTATGTCAGTTCAAAACAAATAAAAAAATAAATAAAAAGTCCATGAATGCATTTCCTTCCAAATGCTACATTAACATTGCAAGCAAACAAACAAGCAAAAATTAGTTCCGCAAATATTTGAATTAACATAAAAAATAATCCTAGAAGAAGAAAACATAATAAAGCTATGTAGCACATGCTGATCTGCAAAGCCCCGTCACAGAGGAAAGGCTGAAGCTTGCATTATAACTCTTTGGTATTTAACAGTAAAATCTCTTTATAGCCTCACGGATGCAGGTGATTCTCAATAAGTTTACATCCGCCACACATGCAAGCGATTATAAAATGACCCATCGCATCAAAGTATCGCCATTTACTAACAGTGCTGGGTATTGAAATTCAGTATGTTTATGGTACCGACCCCACATCACTTATGAGTATCAAAAAATTCCAAAAAAATCCAATACCAAATTTTAGTACCTAACTAGTAAGTCTTAACAGCATCCTTAAGCATGCTTACTCCAAAATCTAGACTGCTGATTAGCTGTCTATATTACGTACCATATGCATGTGAAATAGCAATTTAAGAGTCAGAGATGTCAAGTTGGATTTTGCAGAAGTTTTTCAGCTCATGTCATACATCTTTGAAATCTAAATATCTGGTCAAACTTCATGTGCAATTACACATTTCCACCAGAGCAGTCTCCAAATCCCCAAATCCTACATAGTGCAGCTTTAAAAGAAAGTACAGAAAAACCTTCATTCAGGAATTGGTATTGATTGGTGTCTGTTTTGGTACAGATAAATTCTGCATGATACTTACTTACTTAATTAGTAATTTACTAATTATTCATTATTTATACAATTATCTGGCTACAGCCTCTCAGGAGAGATTTAAAAAAAAATTATATTATAGATAAACCTGGCAACATGTACAACAAATTACTACTTGATGCTCTTTTAAAACTTCCGGCAACTTCAAACTGGAACTCATACTTCATTTGTGGAAAGCAATTATGGAAATGAACAGCTATTACACTGGCCAGGATCTGCCATTAGTATCAATCAGAAAATATGAATTATCTGAAGCAATGTGAATATCCATCATGCACTGATGTGCGATGTGTGCCAAGAAATGTAAATGTACAAAGGCAAACTTCTTCACTTAAATCAGCTTTAGATTAATGAACGACAAAACTGTCCATGCTACAGCCCTAAATTAGTTACCCTACTAAATACAGCTGAATGTAACACAGTCTACAATATATTGCCCTTCTAGTCTGCTGTGCTGAAGAAGTAGCTGTGGAATGAATAATGGCAACTCTGGCATCAATACTGCTACATATTTCTACAGTCTGTGCTATGAGAAATTTAAGAAAGTCACGTCCAAAAGAAAATACATCCTGAAACACTGTCCTTAAATGATGTATCTGAAAATGGCCCATAAGATTCAACAGAGCCACTTCTTTCCTTGATGCACTATGGCTGCGGCAGCAGGCCTAATGCTCAAATCACATATCACTTAGAAACGCATTTCTTTTTAATCACGTGTGTGTTTAGCTATTCTGAAGGAAAAGGCATATTATGAAAGATGTGCATTGAAAATGTCAAAGACGTGACCCATCACATACAGCTTAAATGAGAGCACTTTACCACATCAAAATAAAATTCTTCAGTGCCATCAGTGGTAATGGCACCTTGCATCTTGTCTAGTCAACCTATTTGTACCATTATCCTCCTCTTATTTAGCTGCTTTTTCTAGTCATAACTGGTTGCTAATGAGGAAGAGGACCTGAGCAAAGGATGTTATCAATTTGCAGACTATCGTGTGCTAAGGAGTCCAAGGCATGACCAACTGGGCCAAAAGATAATACAAATAAAACTCTCATTACAGAAACATTGCAATATAAATAATTCTGAAAATAAGTATGTCCAAATGTTGAACACATGTACTAGCAGGTTTCTGTCCTTCACGTACACCAGGAAACACCAGGAAAGTGTACTTTTCCAAGGAACCTCAGTCAGTTTTCCAGAACAGATAGAAGCCTTTTTGTGTGTTTTGTGCCCTGTGGTTCTGTATACGCAGTGCATACTCGAACAAGAAGAAAGACTGGTTTTACCAATGGTTAAAATCCTTAGAGGATGTGGGGGTCAGCGGCACAGTGGGTGTGGCGTCATTGTCCGTCAAAAGGCCTGTCCTCTTCACTCGCTATCTTGCTGACTTTTTCCACTAGCACCTCTGCATTGATCTTGGGAAGGCCATTGTCCAAAGGACAACCCTCAACCAGACTGTTCATAGGGGTAGGAGGGACACCGGAGTCCTCTTCTAGGGCAGAATCCTCACAGCACTGCTGAGAGTCACTCGGATCTTGTATGCACTCATCTTCCAGTTCCAGGTCTTCCAGGTTTCCACTCTGCGCCATTTTCCTCTCCCTGTCTTTAAGGAAGTCTAAAATGATGGGTAATACCTTCTTGCGAGAGGCCAGTGTGTTACCCTGAACATAGGCCTTCACGTCTGGATAGGGACTGCTCATTGGACTGAGATCAAGATTGGGATTTCTGGCTTTTTCCAGTGCTTTGCTAACCTATTAAGTGAGGCAAACAAAGATTGAGGGTTTCTATAGTAACAACACAAACACTGTAACAACATACTCACAGCATACAGTCATCTAGTAATTTTTAAAAATACTGTTTGAGAACATTAGCTGCCTTTTATATTGTGTGAACATTTTATGGTAAATGAACCAAGAAAAATGGTCCAAAATGACTTGTTACATGAATGAATGAATGAATGAATGAATGAGTGTTTTTTACATTTCATGTTTCTTTACCATTTTGGAGATAAGGGCTTTAGCTACTGCAGCAACAATATTTTGTCCTCATGCATGGTCTAAACCAGCAACTAAAAATGTGAAGGTCATCCTATCAATTATGCTTTAAAAACTGTTCCAGGACGGAAACATAAAATGGCCCATAATCAAAATCTTCACATTTTTTTTTGCATTTTATTATTTTCCTTGAGGTCCACTCATGACGTTTGTGTGGATTTATTTATCAAAACAGTCATAATTCATTTTACATAACCATTTTCCAGCATTTATCTTTTCCTTAGAATTAAACAGACTGTTTTTATTACTGTGCCTTTAAGACATGCTGAAACACTCATAAATCTATGGTGAACTAAACTGATGTAGGCTAAACAGATGAATCACAAAAACAGTGATTTCAAAATGGGCTGTTTGTGCAGCTTAGCTTCCACATATGGACTGTATGAACTGAGGAGTGAACAACATGTTCTTAAACCTTAGCAAAGTTTACATGTTACATCAAACTCTTACTTCAAAAAAAGAGGGGGCCAATTCAGTTTTCCATTATATGGACCCTTCACATTGAAATCTGTAGGCTGTTACTAATGCTATTTTTTCATTATGTGTACTCCAGTAGCTTACTATTTTTGTCTTACCTCCAAAGACAAAATGTATTTGGATCAACATCACATCTTGCATGATTTTATTCAATGTATTTATGTATCAAGTACAGTTATATGCAAAAGTTTGGGCACCCCGGGCAAGTAATATGTTTTGTTAATTTTCTTAAGTGATCCTGTAGAGAGAACACAATTCTGCACTTTTTAATGAACAATAGCTGTTTATTTGCTGAATTGGAAATACTGGAAAAGAAAATGAAATGTAAAATGCTGTCTATACAAAAGTTCTTATATTTAGTTTTTTTTCCCCTTGTGCTAAACACAGTGAATAAACAGAACTATGCCACACAGAAAACACCATGTTCAAATGTCTTCTCTGTAGAGGATGTGTAACTTATTTTCACTCGGAAAATCAACAAAACAACATTTGACCAGGGGTGTTCAAAAGTTTGCCATTTAGCCTGCTAGCATGTCTATGCACTACATGCTACATGTAAAATTCTGAGCTCAGCTCTCAACTAAAGGGGCTCTAGAGTACCTCATCCCTGTAGAGTGTGCTGGAGCTGTAAACTGCAAGCTGTCTGAAAGGCTCCTTATCGTTGATGAACGAGATGGTCATGGCCACCACCAGGTTGTAGCTGTGCTTGTGACAGAACTCGCAAAGCTCCTGCTGTAGACGCTGTCTCTGTAGGAAAGACTACAAATACAATTGTGTTTCAGTATTTCAAAAGAGCGAAGATATTCATGGGTTAAAAGCTTTTAAAATGCCCTTATAATATTTTCAGTTATGGTGGTTCACAAACATTGGAACAAAGTAATTTTCAAGAGAATTTAACCCACTAATGTGATCAGTGCATGTGTCTGAGTATCCGAGGCTGGGGAAGCTAGGGGCTGCATAACACTACACTAGGCCTGAGAGTGGAAATCGTAGGAAAGCCATTAGAAATGGAGACAGAAAATATATCTCCATTTACTTCAGCACATACAACATGCGCTCAGCGGCCCAAAATCATCAAACTTGCGTTAAAACAGTGCAGATTTGATCGCCTTTAATGACGTACGAATTACTCTGCATCTGATTCATGAAACTTTTGTATGATGTGAAAACAAGCAGAGATGAGTGCAAATGAGGAATCAGCTTAAGTGCAAGAAATCAAGCACCAACCTACCAGCACCTCATTTACATCAAGCACACTAACTTTAACTGCAGACATTTCAGCAGGGAGCCATTAAAACAACAGCATTCAGCAGTCTGTGAGCCAATGTCTGTGCTTGTAGATGGAGTTTGAAAACGAGCAGTAAGTGCACTGCCCCGCACCCCCCCCCACCAACTTTAGTGTTTGGTCTGTAGGGGCGAGTGTTAAAATTACAAAGACTCGACAGAACGTTATGTGAAATAAACAAAATGTCGTCTTCTTTTTAAGATTTGAACGCTGTATTATAGCAGTGCATGAGATGCTTCTGCACTAGTTGTGATATTCACTGTAAAACTTACCTCAAGAGTCATGTAGATAACACTGATAGCCAGCCTCAAATCTCCACCTGATATGGCTTTCATGTCCTTTAACATCATCTGCTCTGTGGTGAGGCCTAATCCACAAGACACACCTTTTAATATTCTAGCAAATACTGCACAATAAACATTTTTATTCACTCCCCAAGCCAAGAAACCTGTGGTTGTCTTCCTTTCATTTACAGCTTACCTGACACATCAAACTTGGCATTCTGCAGAGACTGGAACAGGATGCTCCTAGGAGGGAGCTTAGGGAAGCGTGTCTCTAGAAGAATGGCATACTGGCTGTCCTTCGGAGTGACTTTTCCTGCCTCGGGTGCCATATTAATACAGTCAGTGATAATAGTACCTGACAACAAGGAAAAAGCATATTTGATGGGTTATTTAATATTGCATTTTAGTTCATAATCAACTGGTTAGTATTACTACTTTCAGTTATTTTCATGATCAGCAGGAAAGCTAGTGAATGGTGCATCACTGTAGAGGTCCATGAAAAAAGTGCACTTTTCAAACATAAAACTTTGGAATGAGAAGATTAAATCAGTGTTGGTGTCTCGTCTGATTCGAGCAGTGCTGTGCCTAAAATAAGCACTCTAAGCTCAACCGCTTGGCCCCAAGCCAAGTAAACAACAGGCTGAGCTGTGAGCACAAGCATTCATGTTGAAAATTGCCATGGAGCCTGGTAATAATCCTGTTTAATTATTGTGGCAGCTTCACAGACCAACAGTCTGAGGATTCACACTATCGCTGGATGGATGATGCCATTTTAACCTAACACGTCTCATCATCTTTGCAATGCTATCTGAAATTTCCAGCAACCCATGTTTGTTTTCATGGAAACAGTTCAAACAACATGTACAAATACTAAATGTTAATTCAGTCATGTCAATCAGGTCTTTAAGCTTTATGATGATTAGGTTATTAGATACAATAGTATTTATTAGGGAATTTCACTGATCAATTGTTGAAATGTAAATAAAGTCATTAAGACTGTATTAATGTGAAATCGTTCCTTGTAGAGAAACTGACTCATAAGTCTTTACAGTGGTGGTGATAGGAACCAGTGGTCACAATGTCTACAACACAACTATACCTGTTTTATGTACGATCCAAATCCACTAGTCAACCTACATGCATTGTTATATGAAATGTTGATGGTAAAACAGCGATAAAGCTGAACAGAACATTGGGCCTCATTCAGTAAAATCTTCCTAGGTTTTTTCTTAAATGTATAATTCTATTATACATTTATATTATACAATTATATCAATTTTGTGGGACAACCTTCTGAAACATTTAACCTTTTAACTAGCATTTAACTTTTTGGATGTCTGGTTCCCTTCACCACCACTGTGAACAATCTGACCTCTTAACATATTAATTATGCATTAATACATACATACATACATACATACATACATATGTATACATACATACATACATTCCTGTCAGAAATGTGCCTTACACAGCAGGCAAAATGTCTATCAGAGTGACATGTGTAGGTAAATGGGCAGTATAGTTCTGCTTAAATCAGTTAAGTTCGGTATGGTGACCATCGTGTACTGAAGACCACTCAATTTGCTACACCTCAATACTTGGATGACTGCCAAGGTAATTACCATATAAGAGCTGTGCCACCTGTTGGTCCAACACCTCAGGTGTCTTCTGGACAATGCGCTCGGTCACCAGGGTGGCGCAGGAGCCCACAGTCTCCACGGTAACAGAGCAACTGGGAGAGGGGGCCCTCTCCAGTCGATGATGGTCAATGACCTCCACCACAGCTTTCTCTAATGCACAGTCCGCTCTGCAGAGAGGACATCCTGTATTACTGTATACACAACATAGAGTCCTACTGCTCACCATCTTTCAGCGTTTCACCACAAAGTTCTGTTGCTTCTTGTACAGATATTTTAAGCACCACTTTGCTGAGGACAAAGAGATAAAATTATTTTAGTTCTACATCAATGTATTAATTTATCTTCTGCTTCTATTTTGTAAACTTACTTGTAAAACGACATATACGTACATACATATTACACACTTACACTGAAGTTACATCGGAAATTTAGTGGTCATGAATCATGAATTACCAAATCTCTCTCAAAGATGCTGAGTATGAATGGCTGACAAAGTTATAAATACAAACGGGGAACTAAAGTTCCATGTTACTGGGGTTTTCCAGCTGTGACATATGAACAGCCCCTACATTCTGTATTACTGTATGAAGACAGCAGATCAAGCTGGAAAACAATGGGAAAAAATAAATCACACTTTCTGTATCATTAGGCCCGTACATGACTGTAACATTAAGCCTACCGGTAGTGACCTGGCACACCCTATTAGTGTGAAATGAATCATCACTGTTGGAAAAAAAACTTGCATATCCAAAAAAGTAACTTGGTAAAAGGACAAAAATAAATAAATAAATAAAAAAACAAAAATCTTAAAATTTCAATGTAAGGTACTGTAACAATATCATTTAAGGTATTTTTGCTCCATTTCTGTAAGTCTGTTTGTCATAACATTTTGACACAGTGTAAACAGCAGCAGGCATTTTCAGATAATGTTGATAAATGAAAAATGGCAGAAATGGGAAAAAAAATTGTTTGGACAACAACATTTTTTAAATCACATTTTCCATCCCAGCACACAATACAGTTGTGTGCAAAAGTCTGGATGTGATGTTTTCTACATTCTTTGAAAATAAGTACACATCCTCTACAGAGAACACATTTTAATGCACAAGAACTTTTTTGCTGAATTTACATATTGGAAAAAAAATTACAATGTTCCAGCACATTTTATATGTAAATTTTTTTTCCAAATGAGTCAATATTTTGGCCAGTGAGTGAATATTACTCATATGATAAATTTATCTGTTGCCATCGACAACCCAAACGCAAAACAACTGGTTGTTTCGATTTGGTGGAGTTGACAAGAACCATCCAAACCTGGGCCCTGTGTAGTACATTACTAGAGCTTTGCAGAATCAAGGGATTTTTAACTATTTTTATTTAATAATAGTCGATTTGAGTCTTGACCCCAGAATGGAAAAATTGTGTCATATATTATAGTAGGGGTGGCACCTCACGATATAGTAGGCACCTCACGATTCGATTACGATTCAGAGGGCTGCGATGCAATTATAAAACAATTATCGATGCATCTCGATGCATCTTTTTTTTCTATATAGCATTTATATTTTCTCACTGTGTGAGCTCAAGTTTCGAGTTTATTTGTCACTTGCACAACATGTCAGGACATTTATGCATTGAAATGCTTGTGGTGAGGCTCAGCTAATCACTCTACAGAAAGTAAATAAGTAAAAATAAAAATACAAGAAAAACCAACTGAAATATATTAAATCTACACAAAATATACACAGAATATAGAGACAATATACATTTTAAAGTGACTAAGTGACTCTGTGTTATTGTTATTTAAAGTGACTTGGTACTTTTTAAGCAAAGTATTTGTAATAATCCATAATGAATTTACTTTCAATATCTTTTTTAATAAAACAAATGGAAGTGATGTGGTAAGTGAACTAGAAGGCTCTCATTCAGTGCTCTTGTTTGGAGCACGAGAAGCTGCTGCTACTCATCTGCGATAAAATGCGCAGTTACGGTGAAATAAGATCCAGTGGTGATGGATCTCCACGCAGCACATGTTACAGCTATTCTACCCGTTTTCTTTAGTGATTTTATAACTTCGGGGGGGGGGGGAATCGCTGTGTCAGTAAAGCATCTTTGAGACGGGACGTGTGCAACATAGCGCGAAAGCCCTGTTTTGCATCGACTGAGAACCGGCGTGCAGACTGCAGGTCACCTAGCAACGATGCGTTATTCGCATTTATAAGCAGCGCAGTTGGTTTCCTGGTATGTTAAATCTGCAATGAGAGACTGTCACACACTAAAAAGTGGCGAAGCTGAAGTCGCTTCTCTTTTGAATTCTCCCGTTCCACCTTAAATGGTGCCACATTTACATTCGGCGCCTCAGTTAGAATTTAAGGTGGAACGGGTAAATTCGAACAAGAAGCTGGAGAATAAGAAGCGATTTCAGCCTCATAAAACAGTTGAACGTTGAGAGACATTTAACTGATCTACTTCTGAGGAAAAGTTTTCTGGCGGAGATGGGAGGAAAGCGGCTGTAGCTGACGCTTAAAGTAGAGCGAAGTAAATCTGCGTTTTCGTTTATATTGTTTACCCTATACTAGGACATTATCACATACTGAGACATACTGGACATTAAATGTTGTGGCTCCCAAGGTGGTTTGATTTTTGTTGAAAGGACAAAATAGCTCTTCTTATCATTTGGGTTGTGACTCCTGATCTAACCTGGCTTTTAATGCAGAAGGAGCCGGTCGGATTTCTCACTCATCCAGTTGTGTTTTTGTTGTGTGCCGCCACAGACTGTCCGGGCGCTGCACTTCCGCACTTCCAAGTTCCGCCCTCTGCGTTCCGTCCACATTACGTTATAAATTAAATATTTAGAAAATCGATTTTTGACATTTGTGAATCGATTCAGAATCGTTCACGTCTGCATCGCGATGCATCTAAGAATCGATTTTTTCCACACCCCTATATTATAGTATATATTGTTTATTACTGTGTATATTTTATTTATTTGTTTTCACAGAATTTTAACACGCCAGCTGCCACATACAATGTGTTAAAATTTTAAGAGGAACAGATAGAAATGATAGAAATAGAAATGCTCCAAAATGACTTAGAAAAAAATCGTTTCATCACCTTCCATTCACAGTTAAGAATGTTTATTCCATCTTCTGAAATGCTATTTCAAAGATGCAAGGTTGTATTGTGACAGGTACAATGTGTGTGAGTGTTGTACACCACTTTATTGGGTGACACTGACTCAGGGTAACATACTCAGGCAAAACGTTGTGGTCCACTAACGTAATGGCCAGCTGCTGCAAACCATGGAGATCCACCTCATCCCTGAACAAAAGGTAGTCCTGGGATAATCCAGTCTCTCTCAGTAGGAAAATGCTGTCAGAGCGCAAGGGGAACTCCGCTCGTGGGATGTTCAGGACAGGCACTGCTGCTTTCCCAGACTCCAGTGTCTGCAAATAAAACAACCAAGGCTTAAACAAGGTCTCTCCTTCAGTATAGCACAGCCAAGACCAACATTCATACCATATACGGGAAAGCCAACTGTTCCACACCCAGACCACTAAACCTCGTATACTAAATCTAAGTCCACTGCTGGATAATGAGTAACTCACCTTTGACAGAAAATAGGCAAAGGTGAGGGCTGATACCATGGAGTCCATATCACACGCTTCATTCCCCAGCACCACATGGAGCAACCCCGAGCTGTTCTTCATGTGACCCTAATAGTGTAGAACAATGGATATTAGACTTCACAAGCTCTGGACAATCAGCCTAATACATAGCTGACTATCATCTGTCAAACAAAATGCTGGGAGAAGAAAAAAAGCAATGCAAGTGTGATTTCAGTTAAAAAAAAATAAAACAATTGATTAAATATAAAAGCTAAGATGAGGGTCTGAGATTCACAACTGCTTATGACGGGTCTAGTGGGCAAGAGCAGGACTGAGAGTGGTGAAAACACATTTCTGCTGAGCCAGTCCTTCTGCTTCTGATGACAATGTGCTCATGCTTCCCTGACTCTTCTCCTAGTCATTGCATTTCATAAGGAGGCAGGATTCTCGGTCAGTTTTAATGCCTATTCCTTTACCACAGCTTTTACTAGTATTTACAATGAACATCAATCAGACTCAGTAAACTACAACAGAAAAGTTTAAACTAAATCTCTGTACTTTCCTGCAGAACTCAAGACTGGGAGAATCACAAGCACACAAACTCTTGATCACTTGTAGTTTTGGGCTGAAAACTGATATCAAATATTGCATTTATTTTAAATAAGCTGTTATTATGCAAATTACTGTTACTTTTTTGTTCTCCTTCACATGCCACATCTTTTGCTTTGCCTTTATTAACCAATCCCTTTTACAATTGATTATTCTAATGGTTAGTTCAAAAATATATACAATACAAAGGACTGTACTTCATTAGAGGCAGTACAAACAGAATATCATCAACTAGTTGGGAAGATTTTAATGTAGGTTTCCTTAGTTAGTCTGGTAAAGACTGTTGAGGAACATGCAAATGAAACAAAGAACTGCCGGTACTTGAGATCTCCTCTCTAGTAGAACAAGCCTGTCCAAAACTGCCAACACACCCGCTAGGCAATATATTTCTAACCAAATAAACAAGGAGAGTCACTGGATGTTAACAGTGTTACTTGTCATCAGTGCGGAATACAGTTATCATTATAAATTATTAAGTAATATTAGAAGCTGGACCAGTTGGTAATTATATTGGAATCATATTACAATATGGGAAAAGGCAAGGAATAAAGCTCTGTAACAGCAACAAGGGCAACTTCATATCTGAATCAGGATCACTATGATATCGTTCATGATGATATTAATCACTTGTCTAAATTTCCATCATTCAGGCTTAATTCTGAGTGGTATTTTTTGTTAACGCAGTATAAAACACTGTGCACCAGGGCTTAGTTTTAAAAATGTTCATTAGTTTATTATTTGTGTTTAGTTTTCTGTATTTTTTTCAGTTTAGTTTAAGTTAGTTATAAGGGTGCATTAATAGTTTTAGTTTAGTTTTATTTAGTTTCAGTTTTTGATTTTAGCATTAGGATGAACATTAGGATGAGTTTTTCAGCAGACACTATTGTTTTCAATTAGTTTTTTAAAACTGTGATTATTATTTTTATTACAGTTAACAAGCACATTTTTTCACTGTTTTTGCTCTAGCAATAGTTTTAATAAACTATAATAATCCTGCTGTGCATTGAGGTTTACAGGTTTAACTAATCATTTAGTCTAATTATGCAGCTTATGCGACAGTACACACATCTTTTTACCTTAGTTAAACCTTTCATTCATTCAACCCTTATTTAAACTCAGATAATTAGGATTTAAATAACACAAATAAGAAAAGTACATAAATTGCAACAACAACAACAACAACAACAACAATAATAATAATAATAATAATAATAAGTAAAATAATAATAATAATAATAATAATAATAATAATAATAAGTAAAATAATAATAAGCAAAATAATAAACCAACCAAACTGGTAAAATAATAAAACCTTAAAAATAAATAAAAAGATAAACAACAATTAAAAAATTTAAATATGTTAAATACAATAAAATAAGCTAAGCTTCAGATCATTCTGCATGTTATTCCAGGTTACAAGTGCACAGTAAGTAAACTTAGCAAAAACAGCCAGCATCTGCAACATAATCAAACCATTTGTGTGTTTTCTGTAAGGGCCTGCATTAAAAGACAATAACGAAGTCATGTAATGAGGTTTAAAAAAAATAGATAAATAAATAAAAAAATTTAAAAAAAACTGTGAGGGCCTTATAAATAAAATCCAGTGTCTATCACACCTTACAGAAAGAGAAAGGGCCACCCAACCGTAGTGTACAGCTCACAATGATGAGTATTAGAATTGTCACAGGTAATAAATCTTAGAGCAGAATAATAAACAGAGTCCAAAGGCCTAAGAGTCAAGGCTAAAGCATGCATGTATAAAATGTCACCTTAAATCAAGTCAGAAAGGTCAGTTGCCTCAATGAGCATCCTTCTACAATGCAGAGGGAAGCACGTTTTATTCCTATTAAAGAAACCAGTTTTTCTCTAAAACCAGACTGATATATACTCTGAATAGAATGTGCTTAAACATGAATGCGTGAATGATTTAAACTGATTATTTGAAGAGATTCTAGTATTTTTGCTAGGCATGGTAATTTGGAGATAACTGTTGAGGTCAGATGCTCCCCTCCCTTTATGTAACAGAGTTACCTAAGCAGCCTTCCAGACCTTAGAAACCATACCAGTTTAAACTAAAAGATTAAATATATATGTTATGCAGTTGACTACAATTGGAACAGCAAGCTTTAAAAGACAGGTATCAAGGTTATCCTCGTCAACTGATTTCACTGAATTTAATGCTAGTAATGCATTAGCCACGTCTCTAGAGGGGTACAACTGTAAAGTGAAGCGAGGCCTTGGCATTACCTGGACATCTGGATCAGTAGCAGACAAAGGGGGGCCGGCGTAAACTTCACCAAGTAAGTTGCCAGCTGATGCAAACTAACTATTAACAACTACACACAACCCATTCTGATTTGATACTGAACACCCATCGGCTGTAGCAAGAGAGAGGACCACTATGTGAAGACCTACACATAAGAGAATTCACTGCCTTCCACAATTTTGCTGGATCTGAACATGACTGTGGAATTAAAAACAGAAAACATTAAATTTAGCCTTTCTTATCGCAGTTGTGTGTTTGTTTAAGCTGCCTAAAAGGGCCCAAGCTTTATTTCTTGCTTTGAGCAATGCTGATATTTCAGCTGTGAACCAGGGGCCGTTTTATAAAAACATCTTCAATCTGAAGTTTTATCTGTTTAGTCACCATGACAACTTCAGTTTGGACTGAATTTAGGACAGCAGCTGTAAGAACAACAGTTCTTAACTTCAGAATTGTATCCTAACAAAGACAAGAAAGCAGTATTACAGAAATAACATAGCTAGACTAACTTTAAATTTTCTAAACTCCTTTCTTTAAGACAAACTCAGAGGTGTCCCAACTTCTGTTCTGATCGTTTTTAGTTCACTACTAGCATAATGACGTTATATTTATATATGTTGCAAATTGGTGGTTTCACTTGAGATGCTTTTCTTTTATAATTTTACATTTTAAAAATCCCAGACACTGCAGACCTGATCCCCACTGTCCCCACTTATTACCTTTCTGTGTTAAATGTTGATGGAAACTCCTCAGATAAATGTTACAGTGAAAGGGCTACTGACCTTGGCATTGCACTAGAGAAACTGTAGTGGGGAGAATTACCACTCAAACGTGTTTGGGGTTTCCCAAACGCTAGAGGGCGCTCCCGAGTGAGTCTAAAATGAATTAGTTAAGAAGGAGCACTGAGCAAAAACAATGCAACACATCCATTTCCTGAACACAAGACAGCTTAATACATTTTAGCACCACTATTATATTTTTGAGCACGTTTGAACTCTAGTTACGGGAGTTTAAAATGGCGCCTCACGTACGTTCACGACGTCAGTGAGCGCGAACAGCCAATGAGCTGCCTCACTCACCAACCAATCAGCACTCAGTAGCAGTAATGTTAGCATCCTGCTGCCTAAAACCTGTTTGCTGCAGAATAAAGGAAACATACAGGCAAGGTTTCTTTGCTTTTTTTAGTGAAATGCATCTTCTGACTTTCTTAAATTATCGCAAAGTTCTGAGCAAGTGATTAGAAACTATCCTAACTTTTTATTTTCAGCCGTTTCGCTCCATTCACCCCCATTCATTGAGGACTCACTCGCAGGTGGCATTTTTGATATAATGGGGGAAATAGGAAGAGGCCAGGCTCCTCTTAAACCTGCTCTGATTGCACCATGAAGGTCACTTGGGGTCTTCTGTATGAGGCAATACTTTTGGCCCCACTTTCATAAAAACATGTCAAAATATAGGTCCTTTGTTTTTGGTTGTGCCACCTTACAACTGAGGAAGTAAGAACTTGTGCACAAAAGTTTTTTAGTGAGTTGAGTACTTTTAAAGTTGCCCTATTTTTCAACATTTTAAAATAAAAACCCTTGTTCAACCTAAATGAGGTATTGTTGTTATTAATTTGGGAAAATAATGGACTTGGACACAAAAGATGCACTTCATGTCGACGACCTATGTTCCGGCACATACGCTGCTGCTGTGCTATGTACCAGCATTCAGGCCGCTGTCTCGTGCTTCTGGTATTAGTGCGATGGAACAAAGACAGCACAGCAACATCTCGGCTACAACTCCTACTGGCATTCTGAGTCATTTAGTCAAACATGAGCCGGCAAGATTTTATTGTGGACATTACAGCACTCTGGGCATCTGAGGTCATTAGTGATCATGACCTTTATACATAGTGACTATATATTTTAACTTACTTTTATATATATTATATTTACTTCTGAAAACAAAAAAGTACGACCAACACCCTCTTGCCTCCCATAGTTTCTCTGTACCATATTTGCAAAAGATCACAGAAAACCATCACCTCAAAGCTGCCTTTCAAAGGAACAAAAAAGACAGAAAACAAGGAGAGACTAGCAAGTTTAAAATCTTTGAGAGCATGTGATGCAATTACAGACTGAACACTGAGAGCTGACACCTAGTGAACACTGAGGCGGTTTTCCTGCTCTACCTGCTGCCGGTTTCCCAGTCAGACAGGTTTCTGTTTTCACCTTACTGGAACAACATTAAAAGCTCTTGCAACTTCAACATGCACAGATGGAACCTTCTTAAAGCTCATTTACCCTCACTGTTCAAAACAGATACGGATACAGATGAAGCTTTCTGTCTGTACTCTGCGTTCATTGTGTCTGCATGTTCACTTACAACGTACATATGCGGGCAACGCTGAGCAGTACCACCAGAAATCGTGGGGGTGGAGACAATAGTTCAAACGAGACACGACCAGAGCCGGTTTATGAGGAGACTGGCCTTTTCCTTTTCCCCCTGTTGCATCAAAAACATGACTGGAAAACGCCAGAAGGCGCCCGTGAGCGAGTCCTCAATGAATAGGGTGAACGGGGTTTCTAATCACTTGCCCAGAACTTTGATTTTAGAAAGCAGAAGAATGTATTTCACTAAAAAACAAACAAACAAACAAACAAACAAACAAAACAAAAACAAAAAAATAAAAAACCCATGTTTCATTGTTTCTATAGCAAACGGGTTTTCAGGACGCTAATATTACTGCCACTGAGTGCTGATTGGTTGGCGAGTGGAGCAGCTCATTGGGTGTTCGCGCTCACTGACATGAGGCGCCGTTTTAAACTCTTATAACTTGAGTTTAAAAGTGTTTAAAAATATAACAGCGGTGTTAAAATGTTTAATGTTGTTCTCTGTTCAGGAAATGAATGTGTTATTTTACATTACACATGTTTAAGCATTTAGAAACTGAATTTGGCGCAAGAGAACCTTTTTGTTTTGGACTCGCTCAGGAGCGCCCTCTAGCGTTTGAGAGACAAATTTTCGACATTAGCGGTAATTCTCCTCTACAATTTCTCTGACACGACCATATACTTCTTACGGAGTCAGAATTGTTCACGGTGGTAGTGTTGAGACCGGCTAAAGAGTAAAATGTTTAAAAGCTAAAGTTATTACATGAAATGGTTATGAACGTCTGAGACATTGTTTTTGCAAAAAGAAAAGTTCTTGGTCTAGAACACATACTAAATACATTCATGGCAGAGAGAAACATACAAGGCGTTGACATGTAAAACAGTTCCCAATGAACTTTTTCCTCTGATTAACTAGTATTTTTCTACAACCAACATAGCATAAAAAGACTCCGAAAGCAAGTGTAAGATCACTGGTCGTTTTGGAAAGTAAATAACACTGTGGCTGTGTTTACACAGAAGCGACTGAATTATGTACAACTGAATTCCCCTTCAACCGTTTAGCATGCTGGATCTTTTTATGCACAACCAAAATCCACCCAGCTCTGTCTGTGTGTGTACACACACACACACACACACACACACACACACACACACACACACACACACACACACACACACTCTCTCTCTCTCTTTCTCACTGCTGCCCAAAGGAGCTCCGTTTAAAACAGGGCGGTTCTCCTACTGTAGGCAGCTGATCTGCACTAATGATCTCGGCAGCGCTGCTAGTTTATTGGCAGATGGCTGCATGCAGGCGCTGTTCATGCATAATATTTGTGCTGATCTGCGTTACTCAAGTGCACCATCAACCCTCCAGGTCTGAGAGCCCAAACCAGGCGGAACAGCGTAAACAGGCTGCAAAACACTCCCGCTTTCATACAGAAATATGACCGCGCAGTAACTCCTGTATGCAGCGTTTTGGCCGTTCTGAAAACAGAGATCTGCGCATGCGCGTTAAACGAGCGAGTGTAGCGATCAATGTTCAGTAACTTTTCTCCGCAGTTCTCTCACCCTCAGCCCAAAGACACGCCGCAGTCGCAGCTTCACCACATTCATTTCAACACGTGCTCCGTTACTGTGAGACTAAAGCGGGCATTACAGCGGAGTACGACCTTAAAACGAGAACGTGTCCACAAACTCAGAGAGGAGTGAAGCTCCGTGTGCCCTTCTTTACCTGCAGCGCGCCGCGACAGCTCCGCAAATACGTCTCCATTCTCCCCGCGGAAAACCGTAGTACTGGAGGATCCGTAAGGTTTATGAAGGCGCCGCTGGACGGGAAACAAGACCGGAGTAGTTTAAAGATCCCCGTAATGCGCTGCTACAGAAGCCTTGTGCCGAATCACGCCTGCTGTGCTCAGCTACAACACGCACCAACGTAACTGCTGTGCGCCCTCGATCACGGGGGTGTCACGGGTTTATGGGTAATGTAGTCCGTCAGCATAGAGGCACAGCACTTGACCTATACCGATGATTCACGGGGATTTCTAGACTTAAATAACGTAGAATACGTACTCTCTTTCCTTACTCTTTTCCACGTTGTTTGTCTGCAACATGAAGATTTATTTACTTTAACAGTATTACCAAAAAAACTATGACTCAAGTTAAGCAAGATACCAGATTTCCTACACTTCCCGCTGATGGATTTCATCATATCCCACAGGGTATTCGTATTTCACCTTTGAGATATTTAAACGCACGCCCTGATATTTTACGCAACTGGGCCTCTTCAGAAAGCTCAATGCTGACCATTAGAGACTAAGCAAAGAAGAGTTAGTGGATGTTATATATAACTTATTTTGTCTTCATGAACCTTGCTCTGTGCACTGTGGCACAGTCATGCTAGAACAGAAAAGGGTCTTCCCCAAACTGTTCCCACAAAGCTGGAAGCATACAATTGTCCAAAATGTCTTGGTCTCCATTGGCTTTCTGACACTAGCTGGACCTGCTGTACACAATTTGATACAACAGGGCTGCGCTACTAGCTCTCACACTCTGCACTGGATTTCTGTGTGCTTTGGGTGGGAAGTAGCCCTTCTTTGCTGCTTGTTTGCGCAGACCTTCATTGGGCCCTAGCTGCCATACGGTCTCTCAGTACACAGACAGCCAGCTTACTTGGCACTTGCACACCATTTAGGATATCTGCTTGATCACTGACGTACTGCTGCATTATTGCTATTGCTACTTGGTGCTCGGTACATGGAGTTCACTGTAGCTGACTACACATGCCGTTGAGGACTGCTGGGTGCTTGTTTCTGTGGCACTTCGCCACTAGCCAGCCACTGCCGCTCTGGTGCGGCCGACACTTAGCTGGTTGCAGCCTATCGCTAACCACTGCCATGCTTTCTCAGGTAAGCTGTCTGCACTGCCCTAACCTTCTGGAACCGTTAGACAGACTTCAGCTATACCTGTATCACCTGTGTGAGGTGTTTACTGATCCATGCATTGACTGTGCTGTGACTCTCTTGGCTGCAAATTGCACGTGGCTGCTGGGTCTAGAGGCACTAAGCAAAGGCATTCTTCCCACACCTGTGATGAAAGCTTGACCTACGTGGAGGGTGCTGAGCCCCGTGGAAGCACTGCAAAAGAAGAAAGCCTGCGGTGCTCTTTTCAACTGCGTGGACCCAGTTGTGTCAGAACTTAACAAGCAAAAGAGCTTAGTTTTAGCGATGAGTAACCAAGGAAAACAAACTGAGGAAGTCTCATTGGCGGAATCACGAGGGGCAACTTCACCATGGCCTGAGGTGAATTTTGTTATTCGTTCCATGAGCGCCTTCAACGTGAATTGTCCGCCCTTGTCAGTTCTTGAATGGCTTGAGCCTTCTCCAAGCTCAGATTCCCTGTGCTATCATGCTCCCTCTCCTCAGAGGAGGGAGAGGACTGTGAGCCTCTTGCCGCAGCCTCGTGCAGAACTTTGATAGATAAAACACTGAAGTTAGCATTGTCTAGATGGGGCCTAGATACCCCAGCAGGAGAAAGCTTATGGTCCAACACGCTGTTTAACGTTTGGAATCAGATGTGTTTGCAGTGTCTCGGTGTCAGGATTGTATGTCGGAATTCTCTGCCGCTTTTCGGGGCAAAAGAGCATGTCAGCCGGCGGAACAGCCAGAGTGGCTAGGGACAGGCTATTGACCATGCCACCTAACAATGCTTGTCGCATTTATGGTGGGTTCGCCAGATGAAGCGTTTCACCCAGAGCCTCGCTGTCTGAGCACATGCATGGATAATTTGGTCTTCTGCATGCACAATTCAGCAATGCGACTACTTAGTCTACTTTACTCACTGTGCGTTCTGCTCATAGCGCTCTAGAATCCTCCCACACCTGCAGACGATTTGAAGACACTTCAGAGGAACTGTTGAACTTGGCTCTTCTAACCACAGGCTATGTGGCTCATGATACTGGCTGACTCGTAGCTAGGAGTTCGGCCGGTGACAACACTTCCTTCTGCTCTGCATCTGGCTTACTGAAAAGACATGGTTACAGACCCATGGGCTCCTCAGTACTATGTCGACGGGCTACAGACTTCGGTTTCGTCACCGGCCATCCCTAAGTTCTCGCCCAAAGGTCCCTATGGTTTAAGACCCAGTGTGGGCTGTGGGACTCTCCCAGGATGTCAGTTCTCTCCTGGACAGAGGGGCTACAGAAGTAGTAGACCCTGGCGTTCAGCTAGAGGGTTTTTTCTCAGTTTATTTTGTTGTTCCATAAAAGGACGGCGGTTTCCGGGTGATCTCTGATGGCTGACCAGGTTCCTAAAGGTCCTACAGTTTTGAATGTCTCACACTGCGGTTGTTCTTCTTTGCGAAGTGGTCACTTTGGTGGATCTCACTTATGCCTACTTCCACATCCCTATTGTGCCAGAGCAGACACTTTTTCCAGTTTGCTTTTCAGCACAGCGTGTTCCAATTCTGAGGTCTGCCCTTGGGCCTTTCTCTGGCTCCAAGAGTCTTCATAAGATGTATGAGGATGGCCTTGTCCCCCCTTATATCCTAGGGGCTGAAGATAATGCATTATCTAAAAGACTCTGGCTGGTACATGCTCCTTCGAAGCAACAAACATATAAAAACACAATCAGATTGCTGAAGCACAAACAGGCCCTGGGGTTTACAGTGAATTGGGACAAGAGTGTGTTGGCTCCATCTCAAACTATAACCTTTTTGGGCATCGTTCTGGACTTGCCGTATTTGAGTCATAGTCTCCCCCTTCTGTGACCTCAGCCTGGACTTGAAGATGCAGTATTTAATTTTCCTGTGGCTGCAGGGACTGTTTACAGTGGTTGTGTTGAGGAAACTTCACATTCAACCAAAACAAATCATTGTTGACTTGTGGATGGATGACGTGCACCACAGATGCGCACTTGTCTACATTTCCAATGAGTGCTTGACCGCCCTCGGCGTTTGGAACTCCAGTGCCTTTCTGCTGTCAGGAGTGACGATGGGGAAAATTCCCTCCCACAGGCAGGTGGTCACCACGGACATCTAGGTGGCTCCACAGTGGCCATGCCAGCCGTGGTTTCCACTTCTGCTATTACTGACATGTGGGGCCCTATGAAGCTTCTACGGCAGCCAGACCTGCTCTCAGTTGATCGGACAGGTATGGGACCCACGGCTGGAGTGGCTTCGGTAATGGCTGCAGCCCTTAAGCCCCCGAATTGAGCTAGACTTGTGCTCAGCTGACGTCCAGCACTCTACTGACAACACAAGCACTCAGTTTACATGTGCCCTGTATGAGGGCAGAGGAAAAACTTTTGTGAATGGGCCACTGGTCAAGAATTAAACCCATGTTTCTGCACGCTGCAGACAATTTTGTCCTTCTTGCAGTCACAGCTGGATGAGACACTTAAGATGTATATGGCAGCTTTGGTGTGCTGCCAAAAACTCTGCGTTACCCTAAGACGGAATGCAGCCTTCCAGCCTAAGGTTCTGGATCCTGTCTTCATGCACCAGACCATCGACCTTCTCACTTACGTGGAACAGTCTGACCCCAGGTGGCTCAGATTGCATCCTGTTCGTGCCATGAGGGCCTATGTCTCGGCCACAACTGTCGTTCACCGAACTGACTAGCTGTTTGTTTGTTTTTCTGCCAACAAGTTGGATTTGTTGCACTTGAAACAGCAGCTGTCATATTGGCTTTTAGAAGTCTTTCAGGGATCTTATGGGGCTGCTGGCTGTTCTTTGCCCACTGTTGCTACTGGACATTCTGTAAGGAGTGTAGCAATATCTTGGGCTGCACTGAGGGGGGTCCCCACAAAGAGATATGTGTAGCACCTTCATGGTCTTCGCCGTGCGCCTTTTCTTGTTTCTACTGTGTAAACATTGTAGCCATCAAGGGATTGGCTACAACAGTCCCTTAATGGCTTTTAAAGTTTGAAGTTAAAATTCTTTTTGTGAAATCTTATTTTATAATTATGAAAATGCAGAAATACTCTTGCTTATCTTACATATAAGATTGTTTTATAGGTAATCATAAAAACAAGGCTTTAAGAAACAAATATAATAAATTGCTGTATTTAGGTTTTACATACAATTTGAAATCAACTATGTACTTTGAATTCCTCTTTGTGTTGTGTATGTGTCAGTAGAAATATGTTGTGATTGTTTAAAAAATAATGTTAAAATAAACTTCAGTATCTGATATAAAAAGTTCTCAGAAAAACAATAAAAATTACCCATTTATAAAATATGTCAAGTGTCTGATTTTGTCCCTCATTCTTTAAAATGTATATTTAATAGTGTCAGCTGTAGTATCCAGGGTTCGTGTCACCACTACACTTGTTTTTCATCTTTGGCTGCTTAATGATCGATAATCAATTCTTCTTCCATTAGCGTCCTGATCTAAATCTTCTCAACGTAGTTGCCAGGAAACATGCCTTCTCTTCCCCGCAGACGTCCAAACCACCAACCTGAGGGATCTGTACAGAGAACACACAGGATCTGCTTAGCAATGAAAATGTGTCTTCACAGGGACAATGACTGTGATCTTTGTTAAATGTAACCTCAGCTTTTAAGAGTTTATTACCCTCATTTACGATTTCTATGATGTCATCTGCATTGAAGCTAAGCTCGTCAGTGTCCTGGGCATCATATGCATAAAGAGCACGGCACTGTGGAGCACGGGGTTTGGGCCTGGGGGCAGGTTTCGGCAGCCCCGCTCCAGGGAGAGGCTTGACCTCTTTTGAAAGTCGTCGATGAAGTCTATAGTGAGGACAGAATGAGCACAACATGCACAATGTGAGAGGAGAACAATATTTGAAATATTTTGCTTATGAGAGATAACATACTGGACATTTAGTGCTCTGCAAAAGTCAGAGACCACCATTTTTACCCTTACAGAAAATTACACAAAAACCTCAGCAAATATATACAATATTTTTTCAGTATTTACTGTGTCCACTCTTTGCCTTTATTAAAGCTTCCATTCCTTTTGGGAGACTTGCTTTCACAGAATTCTGCAGGGATATTTTTCCACACCTCCAAAGTTCAGTCCAAGCAGCCCCAATTACAAATTTAGACATCCTTTCAGACTCAGTGTTGAGTCATCTTCTCACAGTGGAAGGATGGAAAGAAATAACTGTGGATTTTTTCAGATCTGAATCAAGAGTGGAGCTTGATTTTCTCCTCTCTCTCAAAAATGAAAGCTTTAAGTGCTGTTTATCTGACTGTTCTCATGACCATAATTAAAAACAACAAAACCAATGACATCAGCCAGTATAATTTTACATTTTGAAAAATAAGGAAAAATACTGTGACACAATTTAAGTGAAATAGCGTTTAAGCTTGACAATAGGTGACGGTGGTTGGAGGTAAAGGCGAAACGTAACAATATAGGTTAATATTATTTTCCCACTGGTGCACAGTGACATAACTGAAACTCAGAAGACATTTTAGAGGCAGGAACTTATGTTTTGATGGAAGAAAACAAGAATTTTAAATGATATGATTTAAATGGTGCTTAACACAAAAAGGGACATACAAGGTAAAAAAAGACAGATCAGTTTTGATTTCAGGTTGACTTTAAACATAGTCTCACAGTCTTAAATAGTGCTTTACTGACTAATATGATTGTCATTTGTCAGAAATGTCTTACTACAATAATACAAAAAAAGCATCTTAGAATTTTACCTTAAATCAGGTAAATATCACAAAATTTCACAACGTGAAAACAGTTCCCAACAGTATAGTATAGTTGTTCCTCAAAATAGCATCATATTCCTAAATTCACATTCCTAAATGTGGTTTAAAGAGACCTTAAGGTGTCTACCAATGTCAATAAATTCATGGAATTTTATTGGCCAATTAAAATATAGATTGTATAAAGTTAAAACTGTCCCTTTAATCTCACCCTGCTACTCCTTGGTCAGGCACGCCCATGAAGCCCATATCAGTGTCGATCTTGTTTTGGTTCTTGCTGTGGCGAGGACCGCTGTAGCGTGGCAGGGTGGGCTGATCCATGCTAGACTGCTGGCGAAGCAGAGAGCCTCTAGAGGAGTTCTGACGTCCCCGGTTTACCCCTCCACGACCTGCACTCGTCGGCTGATCTGGAATCAAAGTAGGTTTTTAAAACTTAATTTAAGTCTGATTAAATGCCATGACCTCTTTAATGTGGGGTGATGGGGTCTTACCGCGTGAATATCTCCCTGTGCTCTGGGATGATTTTCCCATGTATTTGCTCTTCCGCTTGTCGAGACGAGTGGGTCCTGAAAAGGCAAGAAGGCTTCAGATTATATTGCTGTGCTCTGTTATGTACTGACAGCAACATGTGACTATATACTGTATATATAGACATATCAATATCATCACTATAACACAAAAAAGAGCTGGAAACACTGGACATACCTTTCCCTGTTTAAAAAATATAATTCACCTGGACTATGAACCTTTTTTTTGGTAAATGAAATATGCACAGTATCAGAATTCACAGATATTCCAGAAAAGAGAGAAAGACTCACTTGAATTTTTGGGAAGGCCTGGTCCAATGCTAACGATCAGGGTCTTGCTGCTGGGCTTGAGGACCACGTTATCTCCCTGACCCACCTGGAACTGAATCTGCCGAGAGCCTGCAGATGCAAACGGACCCCAGCCTCCTTTCTTCACTTTAAATTCAAGTCTAGAAAAACAGTTACATTAGAATTAGTGAAATGAATTTCTATTAAAGACACTTCCATATCAATACCAAACTGAGTTGGTTGGGCTGTGATTGCGATATTTTATTAATAACAGGAGAAAAATATATTGCTTATGTCTGAAAATACCACTTACAGCTAGCATGGTCACATCACTTATAAACATAAAACATTAATAATAAGCAAGCTCAAAAATGATAATAGAAGTATAAAGTAAAGTTACAGGTTGTTGAACTTGAGCGGCAGCTTCCTCTGTGTCTTTTCCTCATAGCGTTTGAAGAGCAGACTCAGAAACTCTGTTTTAAAGATAGATTCCAGCACACTGTCATACTGCTCCTCGTGCACAATGAAGAAATCATCCTGCAGAGTGCTGAAGGGAGAGAGTCAGAGGAAGCAGAGAAAAGAGTTGAGGTGATGTGAAAAGTAATTCATAAAAGGGAATCAATATATGGCATACAAAGTGATCAACTCATGTTGTAGTCAAAAATAACAGGGAATGCAGATTAGATATTAGATATTTTTGTAAGTTTTACTTCCGCTACTATTCAGAAGTTAGGAATCTCTGTTTTTATTAACATAAACCCAGTTTTTTTAAGGTACATGTATAAAATATTACTAATTATGTCAATGTCTGAATTAAGATGCTGTAACTTTATAGTTTTTTTTTAGTATCAAGCTGTGAAAAATGAAGAAAATGTTAGATGTGTCCAAAGTGATGAACAGAGCTGTAGATGATTCCAAAAATAATTCAGAACAATGAATTAAAAATATTGGAAAACATTGTGTCACATTTTATTTGTTTATTTTATTCATCTGTTTTATATTTTTTTCAATATGTTGCATAAAAAGAAACCGCACAAAAATAAATTTGCAGAAAAAAATGTCATATGTAAGAGTGTTCATGATAAGTGATTCAAAACCTTTGAATAGTTATGTAGTCATTTATGATTACTGTTGATTTAATACAGAGTTCAATGGAATCTAGTTCTCATGTGAAGTATACCTCAGTGAGACAGACTGAATTTTCTCCAGCTGAATCTGTCGTTTGAGGACCTCCCGAATCTGCCCCTTGTCTGGACCTTGCTTCACTTTCTCCCGGCCAATCAGGTAGAGGAATTTCGAGGTCAAGATGAGGTCACGCTTGACAGTCTAGTATTGTAAAGAGAATATGAGATGTCAGTACATAAGAAGTTGTGTGATGTGTTAGATATTTTGGTCATCTCAGAACCACTAAGCTAACCTCCAGAAGCAACCATGAAGGGCCAGCTCTAGCCTTTTGGGGACCTAAGCAGGATTTTTGGGAGCCCCCCATCTTGCTAGCTGATGTACTGTAAAATTAGATGCTAAATAATAACAATGACTACTACAAGCTGTCCAAATTATATACTTTTATAAATGTCTAATTTGTGCATTGATGATGATGGATGTGCGTTTGGGGTTCTAAGAAGTTACAGATAACCTTCTCAGCATTCTGGATGCAGAAGTCTGTCTCACAACGCAGTATTTCTTGCTTACCCAGCTAACTTTGAGATTTAGTTCAATCTAACCCTGGTGGCAGTGGTGACAGCGTTGCTTTTTTACTGTTATATATTGTATGCTTTGCTTTCTACATTTCTCATAAACTTAACACTTTCATGTGCACAGGCACATGTATGAATCAGATGTGAACCTGAATTAACAGAGAGAGCTGTTAACTGCTGTTGTAAAGGGAGATAACTGCATTTTTGTTTGTTTTGTGAAGCTGAAATGTAGTCAGAAAGCCTGTCCAAGTTTAACCTGCTTTGTTCAGATAAGCTGCTTTTTGTTGTGCAACTATAAGCCAAAACAAATGGCATCATATAACACCACAAACACATATCTTTATACAGGGAGATTCACTAGAAAAAGGCCCCGAATATTCTGTAATAACTCTCGCTAGGATGAAGCAATCTGAACGAAACAATGTTGCACCTCAGTATATAGAGCCTCGAACAAGCTGGGATGCCACTGTGTCGGAGCGATGAGGTAGGCGCCGAACTGCCGCCACAACGTATAACCTCCGTTTGCTTCCAGGTACATACCCTGTACCCCTTCATGTGTCTGGCAGAAAACGGAGATCACTTCCAACATCTTTTACACATACATCAAGGTATGTAGTGTGTTTTTTTGGTTCAGATTGCTTCATCGTAACGGGAGTTACAACAGAATATTTGGGGCCTCTTTCGAATGAATGTCCCTGTATTTAAGCTTTTTATCTTCAGCTTTTCTTTTCCTTTTTTCTTTTTCTTGGCTCCAGATGCGTAAACTATTTTTCAAGACTTGATCAACCAGTTGCTTCTTGCCCTACCTTGAGCATCTTAAACAACATAATATTACAGTAATAACCCAGAAGTTGTTATGGGGCCCCCTGGTGGCTGCAGGGTCCTAAGCAGCTGCTCATGTTGCTTAATAGGTGAACTAGCACTGCAACCATGTGTTCTATTCTGATCTATTTATACGGAGAATACCTTAAATCTGCGATCATATTTGACCACCACATCAGCAAATTCGATCCTCTCCCTGCGGCCCACAAACTGGCGGATCTCAGGGCGATTGTCAGTGCCAATGTAGTCGCCCATGAAGTTGCGGTTCAGACTGTTCCTCCGCCGTTCCTTCTTATTCAACAGGATGTCAGAGGCTGAAATAGACAAGAGTCAACAGTTTCAAAGACTTTTAACATTCAGGTTCCAGAGACTCGGGTTCTCTATGGTATAAGAAAGTACTGTGTGTTAAGAAGAGGCAGCTGAAGAATCTATAAAGGCCTCATTCTTACCCTCTTCTCGCATGCGGACATATTTGCGAACAGCAATATGCTTGCGCCAGGCTTGCTGGATGACCCGAGCGTACCCGTTATACTTTCTCTCCCTCATCTCCTCCAGAAGGAACAGCTATAGAGGACAGGAGGAGACTGTGAGTGACACAAAAAAGCTTATAATACCACCACTCTGATTCTAATCCTGCAGTTAAGTCCAAAAGTTGATGAAGTAGCTTTAAAAGATCTTCAAATGCAATGATGTGTCTCTACAGACCAGAATTGTCCATGCTACAGTCTTATCTGTGGCTCTTTATGAATGTGAATGCTGGACAACAAAAAAAGCAGGTCAGGAAAAAACATTGATGCCTTTGGTGCTGGTAAAGGCTTTTAAGAGTATAATGGATGGCAAAGAAAACAAACAAATGGAATCTCAACCAAATCAAGCCTCACCTCTCACTCAAAGCCAAACTGAAGCTCTCTTATTTTGGACAGATTGTGAGAGAAACAAATTCATTGGAAAATAAAATTATGCTTCAAACAGTATAAGGTAAAAAGAGGAAAGAGACAACCAGCTACAAGATGGATGTAAGCTATCAGATCATAAACAAGCCATTAAGAAGCCTTAAGACCCAAACAGAAGACATTACATTCTGGAGAAACACTAACCATATGGTCGCCAGAAGTCGTCTTAATAATAATAATAATGATGATAACATAATAATTATATTACTTAATAACAGTAATAAATAAAACAATAATAAAATAACAACAACAACAACAACAACAACAACATGGAAATGGATATCAATTCTGCAAAGTACCCACAAAAATCACAAAATTATTAGGCCAAAGTCTAAATGATCCCCTCCTTGATGAGGACTAGGTCTGAGAATAACAGCTACACACAGACAGCCACTTGGAACGACACAGGAGATTCCTTTGTTCCATTCTGTGATGCTGAATTCCCTCCTAATACGCTGTACAACGCCTCAGGTATGCACTCATTTTGCCAAACTGCTAAGTAATTCAATCTGCCCATGACTAAAATAAATCCGTCTGGGAAAAGATATAATGAGATCACTGAAAGAGGACATGGCTCAAATTAGGAGCATTTAGAAAATAGACTCTAGATGTGTTCAAATATGTTCAGAAAAGTACGCAGAACAGAACAAGACGTGGTCTTTGGTGAAACTATTGTAAGCAGGTTGGGTTCAAGCGGATTTACAAAATAAACACCAAATCAAAGTGCTCTCACTGATTCTGGGGCCTTGATGAAGATCTTGCTCTTGCCCAGCTGGTACTGATCCTGGTCCATATTGACAGACTTCAACAGGTGCAACACCCCCTGCTTTTCATCTCCACGCCACTTCGGCCACGTCTCTTTGGTCAGGATGGCATATCTGTGTGTAACAGTCTCTAATAACATCAGCTAATGTGCAATGAATGTACTGAAGCAAGTCTCATTGTTAGAGTGACACTTACACACCCAAATAGATGAACATTTCACACCCAAATGTAGATGATCAGCCAAGACACGTTTGGTGTCTAAAGTCATCTGCTTTTGTTCTGCACTGGGGCTACAAGGCTAATGTAGCTAACAAGCAGTTTTTTTTGAGTCACCTATAGATTATACACATTTTTATTACAGACACTTTTATCTTATTGTCTAAAAGTGCATTTCTGAGCTTTTGCCCCAAGTATAAAAACGCTTACATTTCTTTCTAGCGGTTCCAAAAAAATGTTAAAATCAAAAGGAGACCAGCCCTCTGCTGTCTGAGATACTGAACTCTGGATGACTCACTGTAGACTGTCTGGTTCAGTGCATATTTTAAAAAGGCATCTAAAAGCTTTTTCTCTTGCGATTGATAGTTTTAATGTCTGAATGGTCATTTTTTCTCTTTTATGGAATTTATATGTTTATTTTTATTATTTATTGTATTATTATTGTGTTTATTTATCTTCTGTTCTGTGTCTTTTATTTAGTGAAGTATTTTTGTGGCTTTTTTCCAGGAAAAGTTCTATACAAATTGAAAAATATACCTTCTTCACAACCATCAGGTGAAAAACGGTGTTAAGGTTTGGGTTTTGGATTAAATATAGGGTTTAGATTTAACAGAATCTATTGAAATTAACATTGAATTTCATAGACATTTAGTTAGTTGAAGGTTAGTTAAAGACAAAATGTGCATTTACAAAGCATATGGAATAAAGTGAATAATAGGGGTGCACTGACCGCAAATATTTACGGCCAATTCCGATTTCTTTACAGACAAATTGGCCAATGGTCAATTTTTTGGCCTTTTTTTCCATTTTGAAACCCAAAGCTCACACTGTGTACACTGTCAAAAAAACATACTGTACAGGAACATTTTTCATTCGTCAAGGTACAAACAGTGTACATGTACCCTCAAAGGTACAACAAAGGTTTTAAGGTCCAATTGTGTAGGTTAAATAAGTTTTCCCAGTGAAAAAAGTTCCCTTTCATAACCTGTTGTTGGAGACTTTCTATTATATTAGCATTATTTGCTCTTTAACAGGCAAAACTGGAATTTTAAATTCGTAAATGAAAAATTAGTTACCTATTTAAATAACGAATCAAACAAAGTGTTGCAGTACATCAACATACAGTACAAGAGGAACTCATGAGGAAATTACACTACTGAAATACAAATTGGCCGAAATCAAAATAAGAAATTGGCTGATTAACAATCATGTTTAGAGCAAAAATTGCCCCTGTAAAGTGTTCCTGAAACTTACACCTCACCAATTAGCACTGCGCAAACTGCACTATCAAATTTGAGACTTTAAGAAGGCAGCCTAACAGTGTTTAAGGCAAGCGATTTAGACAGTCTGCACAATGCTAGTTAAGTTTAAGCTTATATTATTCATTAGCTACATTAGCTTCAGTGCAAAAACTAAAGAAACAAACTTCGAACACCAAACATGTCTCATTTGATCAACCACATCTGGGACAAGGGGACAAGGGTGTCAATTGGATATTTTGCTGAACTGTCTCTTTACTGGTTATACGTGGCATGTAGGCTCACCTCTGTAAGAACTTCTTAAAGACGCGGCGGAAGGCGTAGCCCGCTCTGCGCACCCTGATGTTCTCTCTGAGGCCCAGGTACTCCACCTGGTGTTTCACGCGGCTCTCCTCCCAGTCACGCGGCTTCTTCGTCTCATTCGGTTTGATGCAGCGAATGTAATGAGGTGTGCACTTCATCAGCGTCTGCACCAGGTTATTAGCCTGTTTCTGCAAGGGCCAGAGCAGCGTACATCTCAGTGAAGGGTCACCTCACTACCTTGTGAAAAACCTGCTTCATTTCTGTCCTCTATGTCAGGTTCTATACCTTGATCTTGGCACCTGCTGTTGTGGGGCGGCCCTTTTTCTCAGCCTCGAGATTCTCTGGGAAAAGGCCTTGGATAAACGCACTGTCCACAAAGAGAGAGCATTTAAATGGATTGATCATTTGATATATCTTTGATACATAACTCTTAATACCAAAAGGGACAAGTTTAATCCACCACCATAAAGTATAAATTAGATGCTTCTAAGCTCATCACAGAGATAAAAACAAGTTAACTACAGAAAAAAACAACCTACTGGAAGAAGTTAAAAGACAAAGTCTGAGAAAGAGACATAAAATTAAAAAAAATTAAAATTCACACTTACAATTCACTGCTTTGCATCAGTTCTATGATATCATTGAAAAGCACATCGCGGTTCCTCTCACAAAAGCCACTCACATTATATGAGACCTACAGAAAAAACGAGAACCATCACTGGGGTCAGTCAGTGAATATTACAGCTGATTAACTGATTAATTCAAGGGAACTTTTTTCATGTTTCGCACCCAATAAAAGTGCCTACCAAACTCTTTTTGAACAGAATCTGTTGTTTCAGTGTAGGGAAAACACAAAAATGTGCAGTGCATGGGTCCCCCAGGACTGTGGCTGAGAACCCTTGACATTAAAGAGTTTTGTAAGCAGTGGTGGTTATTTTTAACTGCTCAAGAAACAGCAGCAAAGTTCATTAAGACTGAGCAGGCTGAACAGGGAGAATGTGCAGTATGGGCTGCTGATTGTGTTTTAGTGGCCGTTGTCTTTTTCTGTCAGAACTGTATTTAAGGAGTAAGGTTGTTTTTATAGGCCTCAGGTTCCGAACCATAAAAGCAATTAAGCAAAGACACATGTTTAAGACAAAAAGTAAATAACACTGATTCCAAAGATGCCAGCCATTATAATTTTACAAAATGGCACAATATCCACATCTCAGATTTCCAGTTTTGGTGTTCTAAAGCAAATTCTCTTTGTAATGTCCATATCCTTTTCCTTAGTAAGGGCTTCTTGACAGCTACACACATCCTTTCAGGCTCATAGTGTTGAGTTGTCGTCTCACAGTGGAAGGACGGACAAAAAAACTATATTTATTCAGATCTGAATCAAGAGTGGAGCTTGATTTTCTCCTCTCTCTCAAAGTGAAAACTGTGCTGTTTATCAAATGGTGACAATTTTGGTGGCCTACCTGGTCTTGCATGGTCACTGGGAGTCCCGTTTTTTCTGAAATTTTAATTAATTTATTTATTTTTTAATCTGAACTTCCTTTTTTTCCCCCCACTTATTTTCCTTTGACTTTCCCCTTCCTTATGCAGGTGGATTATCTTATCTCATCAGAAATATCTCCTTCAGCCATTTTAGGTGCACATGAGTAAGAAATTTGAAGGCAGTTAAGGGTAGTTGCTTGTGTGAATGATGTTTGTTGGGTGACTCCTGGTTTTTTTTTAGGAGAACACAGCTATAATAGGTGGTTTTAAAATTGGAAGGATGGAAGTGTTAACACGGCAGAAGGTGTATAAATACAAAGAGTGGACAAATTAAATAGTGACAGATTTGATACTGTACTTAGTGTTGGGGGCTTTGTGTATTTTCTGTTAAATGTATGTTTCTTCTGACACCGAAAAAAGAAAAATTTGTAATTAATGGCAGTTTTGACTGGAAATTAAAAAAGGCATAATGCTGATTATGATAAGTGGCCACAGACATTGTGATGTGTCACTGAGCATTTTTTATCGTTGACTGGCTTAACAATTCTGTGAAGGTTTGCAGTCATCCAGCCATTGAATTGTCTACAGACAACTGTATTTTTACTTCTCATTCCCTGGCAATCAAACTCAAACTTTCGATGACCTGTAAGGTCACAGGTTTATGGCTGTCATGTGATTAACGAGTTTCATGACACCACAGGTGTTGTTGATGAAGCCCCTTGGACGAGAGGGGAAATGTCTTTGAGATTATACCAATAGTCCAGTCACCTGATTTATCTCTTCCAGAGAGTCTGAGATTTAGTGACGAGGGTGATAATGATATCAGCTATTTAAAAAAGCGCATCTTACACTGTCAACTATACATACATACATACATACATACATACATACATACATACATCATCTAAACCGCTTATCCTTCTGGGTCGCGGTGGGGTGCTGGAGCCTATCCCAGCTGTCATTGGGAGGAAGGCAGGATACACCCTGGACAGGTCTCCAGTCCATCACAGGGCAGACAGACAGACATACACAGTCACACACACACTCACACCTAGGGGCAATTCAGCACGTCCAATTGGCCTGACTGCATGTTTTTGGACTGTAGGAGGAAACCGGAGTACCCGGAGGAAACCCACACAGACACGGGGAGAACAGGCAAACTCCACACAGAAATGACCCTGGTCGCCCGGCCGGGAATCAAACCCAGGCCATTCTTGCTGTGAGGCGACAGCGTTACCCACTGCGCCACCGTGCCGCCCCACTGTCAACTAACAATGTAAAAATCTTATATATTTTTATTAAAATTCTGCACTCAGAATTCCAACCTAAATATCAGCTACAGCTTTGCACTGTAAATTTTAAAAGCTGCATTCACACCATATTGTCAGTAGGGGGCAATAAATCCAAATCAGCAGATCAGCTGAAGCAGTACTTTTTGCTTAGCCAGCTAACTTTAACCCTGGATTCTCTTTTTCACTGGGAACTAATGCTGCACGCCTACCCTGTTCCAGGGCAGGATAAGGTCCCAATTTCGGATCATACACAGCTCTTGGACCAATCAGCTCGATGGAGATGGACCCCTGAATGTTTACTTTTTCATTTATTTATTTATTTTTTTTAGTGTCAATCATGTTAAGAATGTTGCTTTTTCAACAGAGGAAGTAAATCATAATACACACGTAATAAGAACATCAAGCATTTATGAAGCCAGTAAGCACTAATATGGCAGCAGTGGCGAGAAAGTTGCTTTTTATGGTTTTAAATACTTTATACATGTTTATGTAGATTCCCTTTTTTTCTTCTTTGACCAAAAAACTGTTTAATTCATATTTCATACAAATGGTTGTGGGTCATAAATGTCAAGCATTGCGCAGGATTAATCACAGACTGAGTATCTAAACCTGGGTTAACAGCCTGATGTGTTAGATTAGAGGTTAAAGTCAAAGACACATCTTTATTTCATCATTCGTGTTTATTTAAAATCTCCTATTGCCACCTATTGTCACAAACAAAACCTGCCATCTCCATGTGTGCATTACATTATTTTTACCTGACAAATACCTGCTGCCATACACACAATGCCAAAATTTTATGTTCAACAGACCAAAGAAATGATTTAAAATGACTTTTTATATTAACGTTTGCTTTATTATTATCATCCACACATTCAAATGATCACTCACGTATTCTGCGTCAGAGGGCTACCTCTTACCTTGCCTGCATAGTGGTGCACTATGAATCCCTTGTTCCAGCTGTTGAAGTGCTCATTAGTGCTGACCTGCGCCTGCAGTTTCTGAAGCAGAGTCTGGTCAGCACCTTCGCCTTTGGCATGCATGGTAGCGCACACGTCATCCAAGATGCTCATGATGCCCACAGGGTTCTGGGAAGAATCACAGGTAAAATGAAATCCCCGTTTAGCATTTATATGACTAACATTATTATTATTACAATACATTTTCACACTTGTGAAGACTTGGACACTCACCACTTTGGACTCGATTAAGTCACACACAACTTTGTTGTTGAAATACTCTATGGGTGTCCATTTGATTCCTTCTTGTACATACTCCTCCTGTAAAGACAGAAACAGTAGTAATATTTTCCCCAGAAATGCACACATACTGTACAGTATGTCATTCTAAAATAAAAACTGAGCTGCTGTGCTGACCTGCTCAGCCTTCAGAGTGAGTTCAATAAAAATCTGCTGAAGCTTCTCGTTCACAAAGTTTATACAGAACTGCTCAAATCCATTTTGCTGTATATGGATCAAACACAGAAAATACATTAACATGACTGCAATTTGCATTTTCATTGTTCCACATTCATATTTAAAGAGTGCAAATTTTAGTTCTTGCTTTTTTACCTGGAAGATTTCAAAGCCATATATATCCAGTACTCCGATGTTAAATTCCTCATGGTCCTTCTGCATAGCTTTGTTTATCGCCTTTGAACATAACAGAAGGGAACTGTTACTAGATCAATGAAGAAATGGTTAATAGGAACACTTTTTTCCTAATTAAATTTCCAGGTTGCTAAGTTAAGAGCTGTGCCAAAGAACTGTGATAGTGGAATGATATACAAATAAAACATGTTCATACAATACTGTGCAAAAATCAGACCAAAGATTGTTTATTTAGCTTCTAGTCAAAATGTCCATTAAGCACAAGTTATTAATTTTCAGAAAATATTTCTAAAGGGGATTAGATATAGGATAATTCACCTAGATAAGGAAGGGGGAAAAAAAAATGAAAAGATAAAGAGAAAATGGGACTCTTAACAATCGTGCAAGACTTGGTAGACCACCAAAACTGTCCCCATCAGAGGCCGCTACTGAGGAAAAAAAAATTCCGCAAATCAAAGAAAGAAGCTGCAGGTGTTCTCAGAATAATGGACTGATAACCCAGATCTCAACACTACTGTTTGGGATTACTTGGATCGTGAGAAGCAAAAAATCTAACCAACTTCTAAGACTGAACTTTGCAAGTATGGAAAAATATTCCTGCAGATTTCTTAAAAAAACTGAAAGCAAGTCTCCTGAACAAAATGGAAGATGTAATAAAGGTAAAGAGTGGACACAGTAAATACTGAAAAAATGATATTATATTAAGCCGTTGAGGCTGTTGTGTAATTTCTGTTAAACATATCTGTCTTCCTTTTTTTCCCTAATGCAAAAAAAGGAATAACGTGTACTTAATGACTGCATACACGAAGTGTGGACTTTGGAAGACTTACGTCTACGAGGTAGTCAAAGAGTCGGGAATAGAGAGCCTTGGACAGGGCATCACGTGTAAAGCAGGCTTGCTCTGTGTTCAGAGTGACAGAAATGCTCTCCGTCTTGCCCCCCCATTTACTGTCCATGACGCGGCTGGTCAGTTTCTTCTTCAAGCCGTCCTGAGCTATACCCAACAGGTAGGACGGAAAGGCAAGAACTACACAAGCATGACGAAAGAGAACAGAATGAAGCAAAAATGTGAAGATGTGACCACAGAGCATTCAGGAAAGAGAGCAGCTTAATGAAAAATGTAATGAAACTGTACTTCATTTAGTAATAACACAATTTTGATTTTACTTTTAGGAGCAAAGCTCTGAGCTTTTAGCCAGATTTTGCATAACAACGTAATGTTGTTCTGTTCATATGATTCTTTGGAATAGAACAGAACAGGAGTGTCCAGTCTGGAAAGGGTCAGTGTGGCTGCAGGTTTTCATTCCAAACATGCAGAGCACACCTGATTGTACCTGCTAAATAAACTGGTCTTTAAGGAAGTGATCATGTGAGCTTCTGCTTTGTTGGAATGAAAACCTGCAGCCACACCATCCCTTTGGGGATAAGACTGGACATCACAGGATCAGAACAAAGTGTGAATTTACACTCCACACAATATGGGAATTTCTCTAACAAAAACAATATCAGGACAAGGTATCCTAAGATCATTAAATCAGCCAAAACATAAGACTTTATTTCCTACAGTACTGCCTGAAGAAACAAAGCCACAGCTTTGGTATCAGGCCTGCCAACTGGTGAGGAGGAAAAGGTTTCAAATACAAACCAGTCAGCCTCTACTAGTGAATCAAATTACCACAGAGGTGTGAAAACTGGTCAAGAGTGTTAACTGATATGTGGAAGTCTTAAATGGTGGATGAATTACTACTACTTACAGTCTTCGCTCTCCACTACAGCGTAGTTGCCCTCCTCTCTAAAAGTGATGTTGCCAAGATGAAGAATCCCAGCCACAATCTGCAGCACAGCGTCTTGTTCATCCATAGACAGACCTATTACCGACATAGCGTTCTTAAAAGAGATAGTGGGGAAAATGAAACAAAATACTTCCATTAGACACGTCTGAAGAAAAATAAATAATTTAAAAACATATAAAGGCTTGCGTACAATTCTTCATTTCACAAAGCTCCACAGATCTAGAACCCACCATGGTTTCAGAGAATTCCTTCTTGTCGTCAACGTCCTCCACAGTGTAGGTACCAGACTGATTCATGTAGAAGTAGTAATCAGGAGTGGTGACTCCTAAATTCTCTCTCTGCTCTTTGGTGGCCCCTGATAAGAGCTGAAGGACAGTCATACAGAGGGAGATTAGTGCTAAAAGAATATAATTTCCAAACTGTTTTTTACATGATCATTTAGAATAGAAAAGAACAGAACAGAATGAAATAGAAGAGAGTAGAGTAGAATTTGACTTTATTGTCCATAAAAAGTGGAAAAAGACAAGATAAGGACAAGAGATCATAACATCAGTATTACAAGATCATCAAATCAACTAAACCGACAACAGACATCTTAACATGGCAACATAAAACTGGAAAATATAACCATGCCAGGCTACACATACTGCACCCCCCAGCCTCACTGTCATCCTTGATAAAGAGGTCTTTGTAATCAGCTTGAAGTTACACTGAACATATGAGTGAAATCAAACCTTTCAGTGAGTAAAAATATTTTAAAAAATGAAAATCTTTTTCTCAAAACACATTACAATTACTGACATCCTGGCATTAAGTGCATTTTGTGCATCCTTCTTTTGTAAAGATAACAGTACAGAGTTTTCTCTTATACAGCTGGATGAGGTGGGAGATCACTAATAAAGAGATCAGAGACTATTCTTCAAACAAAATTGCTTGTGCACTCATCTCATCTCAGCTCATCTCACAGGTTTTCAATGGACTTTTGATCAGGGGAATGAGATGAGCACTGAAAAAGCTTGATTCTGTTTACCATTCCTGTGTGTATTTAAAAATATGTGCTTTAGATTAGTACAGATTTGCAAAAAAACAAAACAAAAAAACAATATATATATATATCAGTACTGGACGTATCTTTAGATCTGACTTATGTTCAAACTGATATTTGATGATGCTTTCAATGCAGGCCCATTTCAATTCCCATACAGGTGCAAGACTGATTATATGCAAGTTATCTCTGTTCTGACTGGCTGACCTGTGTTGTGTCTCAGCAATCTAGGCTGAAACACTCCTTATAACTATAGCATGAATAGGTGGGGCTAAAGTGCTATATGTTGAATAGCCAGATAGATGTAAATCCATAGTTTTTGTAACATCACAATTCAATACAGACTGTATTTTTTTAAGCTTAGTTTTCCTGTATGGACTGGGAAGTGAAAGGTATGTTCTGAAACTTTAACAATGTTTACACACGACATCAAACTTAAGCCTTTAAAGAAAACAGATAAATGCTAATCATATGTCACCTCAGTTTATGTTACTAGCCTAGTCTTATTTTTAGGGTTCCACCTCAGAAAAGTCCAGGAAAACCTTGGACAGGTGCCAACCCTACGTTCCTTCAGCTCCACAAAAATGAGTTTGTGTTGACTTAGTTAGCTGACATCAAATGGGGCAAATTCATAAGTGTTGATGGAAGTTTAATTCCATTAAATTTATATGAGTTGAGTGTAGAGTGTTAAAATGAATTTGAGCTTCACGTTTATTGGCACTCTCACTCAATGTAGTATACAGCGTGGCGTAGCCATGTCCACTGTGCGGTGGCCTTATGCCTTCTGATGGAGGCAGTCTGACTTTGATATAAAATGTCCTCATATTTGATTGAGTCCATTATTCACTGTATCTCTGTTTCCCCACTGCCTCTAAAAGATAAATGTCACAGAGCCACGTCCCAGATCCACCACTACGTTTTATACTGGATATAAGGTTCTTTTTCTACAGGACCATGACTGTTTTGACACAGAACCCACCTCTGTTTTTCGTTCTGAACCCAGTTTCAATCAAACAGAGCAGAGTTTTGTGTGTGTGCATTTGTGGTTTGACAACAGCAAAACAGTCCAAAACAGTGCCAAAGCTGAAAAGTCTCATTTTGGAAAACTGGTGACAATGCATTTCAATCAACTCCTGCAACTGTCCTGTGATCTTTAGGGAAAGTTTTGCCTCTTAAACCATCCTCTTCACTGTGTGTCAAAGCAAAATACACCTCACCACATTGGCCAACAAACTTTTCCTTCATTTCTTCTGTGTATTCTCTAATCTTTACAATGCTGATGGATGACTAAGGGTTTTTAGTTTGTGTGCTGCTTCATTTTTACACTTTACAAAGGTAAAAAGATAACTGGGAATATATATTAGATAAATTAGAATTTAATTTTATTACTAAGAATTTGAAATTGTGATACAATGTTGAACTGGTTTCTTCGGGTAGCGCTTCCTCCCTGAAAGACTACATTTTTGTCATATTTTCAGTGCAAGATCAAGCTGATAAGACAACAGACTTTTTATCTTTACCAAGAGTGCCAGCCATTCTAGAGAGCACTTTACATAGATACCCGTCTTTTACCTGGTAGTATATGTGGAAATTTCTTTCCCCGTTGTTTTGAGACACTACCCTGGATTTTTCTAACAGGAAGTTAGAGATTTTTCCTCCATCGGGTTCTCCCCCCCGGCTGAACTGGATCTCAAAGTATTTCCCCTGTGGAGTGAAATACACAGCTCATGTCGAGGAAACAGTCTGAAAATAGAACTAAAGTTTGCTAGCATACAAATGTAAACCAGTCACAGAGTCTTACAGCCTTACTTTCACAACCCCACAGTTCACACCCTGCGACCATACACAGAAAGACCAATGACGAGCCTTCTGACAAGCCTTCACATGTTCAGAGATGGTATGCCGTTAACACTAGCCTAAAGGTTTCTGGACTGGAATGCATAAAAATGTCCAAGGCTATACTGCAGAAACAATGTGCCTGCAAGTAAAGTAACAGGATTACTGCAGTGTTTCCCCACACACAGGTTACACTGGAGTGGCACCCTCTCTCTCTCTCTGCTCAGCATGTGAAAGACATCACATGCTGACATATACTCAAGTATATGCTCATTTTCCAAATATTTTATATAGTATTGTTTTTTATATAAAGACCATGCATGCCTTATTTTAATGCCCAATTAATGCCAACAGAACACTGAGAGGAGTTTGGATAACCATATATATTAGAATGCCAACATCTCACAAATTCCCCCGACGCCCCCCCAGGTTTATTTCATGCCTGAGGGAAACACTGTACTGTACAGTATTTATAAAGTCTGCCTACTAATTCATACTAACCAAACAATCAACACACAGTGGCAGCAAAATTAAATGTATGAAACTCATTATAACCTAAACATCTAACTGTTCCCAATGTGTTCTTCTTTAGTTTAGTTGAAAATCTTAAAACGTCAACATGAATCTTCTCTCTTAGTAAAGAGATATCTGGCAGATTGACTCACAAAGCGACTGGAGTTGTTGTTGCGCACTGTTTTGGCGTTCCCAAAGGCTTCAAGGAGGGGGTTGGACTGAAGGATGATATCTTTCACATGCTGAGCAGAGAGGAAGAGAGAGAGACAGAGAGACAGACAGAGAGGGAAAGAGAGGGGGAAAGACATTTCAGTTAACATAGCAATGCAAGCTTAAGAAAGACAGGATCATGATGTGATCTGCATACAATATGATCTCCACAGTTAACAGCTTTAACAATACTATGTTTTCATCACAACAAACACTCTGAATTGGGTGCATTTTTATTGGTTTTGTTGAGGCATTACATGTAAATGAAAGAAATCAGAAATTTATTGGGAGACGTCACAGGTTCTAACTTCTGACTGGTGCTATAACACCTTTATAGTGTGTAATGTTAATTTGGCTTGAGCATTTATGTTTCTTAGTAAATAACATTACTGGGCAACTGTACAAATACACCAAAATGAATCCATTCTGGCCATCAGTTAAAAATCTACAAAGCATCTTAAAAATTCTACAACATTATCTCCAGTCATTACTGTGTTCAGACAGTTTAAGTAGAATTCAAATACTTCCTACCTGGACTTTAGGTCCACCTCCTGACACTTTGGAAATGTAGCTCATGATGTACTTGGCCGCCACTGTCTTTCCTGCCCCGCTCTCTCCGCTGTCAATTACATAAACATACACACACACTGTATGATAATTTTAATCATATAAACAGAAATTAGTTATAAGGGTTAAATAACACTGACCTGATGATGACACACTGGTTCTCCGCATCAATCATCATATTGCGGTACATGTTATCAGCCAAAGCGTAGATGTGTGGTGGATTCTCATATTGAGCCTAGTGTGGAAACATCCAATCAGACATCTGATGCCAAGTTACCATTTATTGTTTTCTGACACTGATACTAAAACCTTGAGTATCGTCCACTATTTCATATCGTTATCAGCTGTTATCACTACAAAACTTTTTCTTTAAAAACGGAACACACAGCTGACAATATTGCATCACATAATGTGAATCTGAGCTTTAGGCTTTCCTGCCCAATATCAAGTATCAGATCAGTGCCATCTTTAATATTTGTACAAACACATTATACATCAAAAAAAACTGAATGCTGTTGTAAGAAAGGTGTATTATCTGTTCTGTTGCCATGATACAGACAACTAGCGTTTTGTGCCTGAGCTTAAGACCAGCTAAAACAAAAGATGAAATTTTAAATGTATCCCAATACTTTTACAACACATCATATTGTAACTGACTCTACTACAGTGTACTGTATAACACTGCTGTATTGGGATAGTTTGTGTCTACTGTGTTAACGTAACTAGAGCAGTAGATTAAGACACTACAAACGCACAGCTTTTGTTTTAAACATTCTACTTTTATAATGCTGAACGCCCTAATAAACTGAAAATAGAATCATTAAAGGGCAATTCCTTTGATTTTTTAAAGTTACTGTGTAATTCAATTTATATTTATATGTTATATAAACAAAGTCATTCAAAGTGTGTTGATGTGAAATTGTGCTTTACAGCAAAAATCAAAGACTCCACAATGATGGTGATACGAACCAGGTGCATAGAATGTCTACAATGCAAATTTCATTTACTATCCAAAATGATCAATGAGTTTACATGCGTGTTCTGAGTTGTTATAAACTGATGATGATAAAACTGAAAAATCTGAAGGGTTTTCACATTTTGCCTTTCAATGCCCTGCAAGTACTCCTATGAATCCGGTTTAGGCCAAAATCATATCTGTTGTCTCTCTATGTGTGAAATGTGACTCTGTGTTGAACTGCTAGTGAGCAATGAGGGGTCAAAGGGAAGGAGTGAGAACCCATTGCTGTGAAAATCAATCGCCCTACAAAGATGCACCGAGACCTGCTTGCTCACATACGAAAAAGAAAATTCAGTTCACTTCCAGTTTTGCAAATCAAACAAACACATTTCCAGACAAAATTCTGATACAGTACGTTTCTGTAAAAATGGTGCATTTCATATCAAAGCACTTTGAATGACTCAGTTTACATCTTAACCATTTACTTATAATTATTCAAATTTGTGGAATTGCAGTTTAACATATGAATGTATGACATAATTTCAGCCACAAAAGGTGAACTGAATCAACCAGTACCATTTTGTGAATCATTACACTGCTGCATCCCAATTCTCTACTTCATTGCACTTAAACTCATATATTCAGAAACAATGTGTACACTTTGTGATGGGTTAAAGTAAGGAATGACTGTCAGAAGCATCTTTCCGACTTTTGGGGAGAACATTTAGGGCTTAGTTGGAAAATGAAAAGGCAGCTTTTTAGTCTGCTTTAGTCCCACACACTGATACTGTTTAAGCTCATTATGCAGACTGCCTCAGAGCACATCATGGCATGTGCTAACATGCAACAACACAGCTTTGCCTTTCCCAGCTGAGTCCAGCCCTGATTAAATGAGTTATCTTGCAGGAGTCGGTCTTACACATTGGCCTACTGCTCAGAATTGGCTGCCTTCTTAAAGAGAAATTCCACCCATTTTTTAACTTAAACTTCATAATTCATTCATAATTCAACTGACAGGAAGCAGGAGTCACAATATCTACAACACAGACACAGCTATTTTATTGACTCCAAAATGAACAGTGAATCTACACATGGCTTCTAAGTTTTAATATGTAATGCTGATGATGGTAAAGCAGTGATAAATCTGAAAAAATACATCTTCATTTAGGACTATTTTTCCTTACAACACCCTTCATGTTCCTCTTCACTATGAACAGATTTTCAACTATATTTTATAGGCCAAAAACATAAGGCATTCATAACCATTTCAAGCAATAACTTTCTGTGATGGAGCTTTTAGAGGCATTAAACATTCAAGATGTTTGCTTCCAGCACCACTGCGGTAAACAATTCTAATTTGGTGAGCATTTCACAACAAACCACTCTGAATGACTTTCTTAACATCTGAACTATTTAATTATGCAGGAATTCTGATCAGTGGAAATTGGTGGAATTCCCCTTTAATCTACAGACTTAAATATACATTTATCAAAAGTAGTTTAGTAGAGAGATGCCATAGAAGAACCAATTCTGGTTCCATAAAGAACCTTTTAAAGGATGTTTCTTTAAAGAACCATTTTTGTACATGAGATGTGTGAGTTTAAAGAACCTCCACATAAAGTCAAGGTTTTACACCAATAGACTGTTTCACCAAGAACTGTGTTCAAACAAAGAAGCATTTAGTGACCTTCATGGTTAAGAGAGCAGTTATATTAAAAGCACAGAACACAGCAACACTGACCAGAAAATTAGTCATAAGTAAGAAAGTCAGCTCTACTCACAGCTCCCTGATAGAGTTCCACTTCACGGTCAGTGAAATACGGCAACTGTTTGAAAGGGTTCACAGATATCAGTACAGGACCTATATATGTCTGGAAGCGGACAATCAAGGAGCTGGTAACTGATACGAGCATCAACAACAAGCTTTCCATAACTACTGTACTCCTGTCTGAAGTTCTGTATTTTTTTATATGATGTTATCAGATCTCTGAACAAAACCTTTAAGATGAGTTTTATTTATTTATTTATTTAAGAAACAAGGCCTACTGCTGAAACAACCTGGCACTGTTTTGACAAAAGCTCATATCTCTGAAACAGCAACTCTATATAGGGAAAAACTAACTTTAATGCATTCTACATATTTCTTATATTTTATTTTTTCTCCTCAGGTCCACTTATAACATTTATGCAGTTCCAAAAATTCATTTTTACAAAACCATATCTGGCCTCTCTTACAATTAAACAAGCTGCTTTAGCTACTCTGACTTTAAGACTGCTATATGTAAATGAGCTCTATTCTGATTGACTGCCCTGTATTGTCTCATTCAATAAGCAGTCTAGACTGCAATCACTCTTTATAACGTCAATATGAAAGGGCGGAGCTAAACTGCAACAGGCTGAAGAGCCAGATATATGTAAAGGAGTTGGTATTGCTACTGTCATTGTGATTGGTCCATTCATTATGAATTATGAATACAAGGTTCTGATATGACAGCAATGACATGTTAGCTCAGTAACTGGTTACCAGCAACAACAAAAAAACAAATGTTTCCTGCAGGTACTGACCAGCCATCTATAAATCTGGTTTAACTGTGACATCTGTATGTTTTGGTATAACATCTACTCTTAGCTTGTGCTGTAACGTTCTGCAACTTTATATACACAGACAGACACACATTCTACCGTAAAGTACTTCTGTACTGAACAGCATGAATGAATATTTCCTTCAGCGATGACTCGTACTATGCCATGATAAGAAACTAAGCCCTGAAGGTAATATTGAAAAGAACATGCCCTTAACCGCAAGGATACAAAAATGTAGTCATCCATGTATCTTTTCTTCAGGTTGTCTGTGATGGCATCTTCGTTGATCTTGGAGAGGAGGACCATGTCGTCCACCCCGCTGACTTTGACATTTTGGGTCTGCCAGTGATATCGCTCCTTACTGCCCTGAAAGAGGAATAGAGAGAGAGCAAGAGAGTAACAGAGAGTAAGGGGTCCCACTCTTTTAAGGAAATCATTCTCAGAACTTTTTCAGAGCAAATTCCATGACGTCCTAATATGCCCCTCTGTCTCCCCTCACCCTCATTTACTGCTGTCACTGATCAAAATTAGACATCTGCGTTCATCTTACCTATTTCTGCATTATTTTTTAAATCACTGTTTTGCACAAGGCCATGCTACTTTGCATTTGTTGTTGGAAGAATTTATATTCATCTGAGCCAAACGGATCTATGCAGAATATAATTGCAGCTCTGTAGAAGCGAGACATTTTTAACACATAAAACACTGAAAATCTAATCTTGACATCAGAATTGAAAATTGTATCAAACCTGGTAATACATTGTATATGCAAAAGGATTCAGACACCCCTAATTAATGAATTCAGTGACTATAAGGTGATCCCTTTGTTGATGCAGAGCCCTATCGCTTATATGATCATCAAAGAAAAGTGTCAGCTATAGGAGTATAAAGACCCTCAGCACTGAGCTGTAAAGCAGTCAAACTGTGTTCTCTGGAGTGATGGAGCTTCATCCAGTACCTTTAGGATGAGTTAGAGTGGCGTTTATGATCCAAAACTGATCATCTACCATCAGTACCTGACCTCACTAATGCTCTTGTGGCTGAATGCAATCAAATCCTCACAGCAATGTTCCAGCATCAAGTCTAAAACCTTCCCAGAAGAAAAGAGGCTGTTACTGCAGTAGAACGGGACAAGCTCTCTAATAATATCCTTGATTTCAGAAGAAAAACTGGATAGGAAGAGAACATGTAACATATGTGTATTGTTACATATAAAAACAGGTCCACATATTCAATCTGTTCAGTGTTTTTCTCACGGTGCTCTTGCACTTTGTAGTATCAAACTGAACATAGTTGGAGGCTGGATCTGGTTAATAAATATGGGCACAAGTTTACTCGTTAACTCAGGCAGCAAGAGCAAGGTTTTGGGGAGTGGCTCAAAATGTGTGGAAATACATGAGTGCGCTGAGTCACTGAACAACATTCAACTCAACTATATAAATACAGTTTTAACTAACAAGCTCTGCTCCTGGTTTACCTTGTTGCCTTCCAAACTGCAAGCAAGTGTCACACATTTGTTTACATGTTCTGTAGGCTAACTGGGGTACATGACAAACACGGAACAAGAGATAACAACTAGTTTGTTCCTGAGACAGAACCTGTGACAGTAATTACAACACAACACTCCTGTCTCATTCCTCTATTTTCAGATAATACTACACTACCTGAACACACAGGATGGCATTACATTGCCAGTGGCTTCCCTCTTAGGCAGAAGTCATTTCAAACTAAAGTTCTGTCATATCTTTAGAATGGATATGATAAAACGGTGTAGTGCAGTCAGGATGGTGTATTATGTGTCTTATACGGACTAAAATCCACTGTCAAATAACATTCCATCCAGACGACAGTACTGAACTCTCTTCTAACAGCAGGACAGAAAACTCAAGGATTATATCAAAGACGAAAAAATGAAAAACAGCTACTGTGAATCTCCAGACTAAAGAGTTAAGTGGAAGAATTCAGTTCCAAGTCTAACATACCTGAGCCACATAATCTCTAGAGGTGACAATCACATAATCACATAAACCTAGAGGTGATTAGCTGGATGAAATATGGTGGCTTATGGCTGGAAGGCACACCTGTTGACCACCAGGGTCAACCCCATGTGGATACTAAACTGATGCGCTCATCCTAAACCATAACCCTATCAATAAGGATGGGAGGAACTTTTACAGGAACTTTTTTAGAGCTTCACAATATGTACACAATACTGTATTACAACTACAGTGCCACACACACTGATTGTGACAATGAAGAAATCTGTCACATCTAAGGTGAAATTAAGCTGCATTATTCTGACCACAAATATTTATTAAAACACTCTGTAACACTTACCTGGAATGTCTGAGATCCATCAAGCATGGTTCTATACAGAAGCTTTTTTAAAATGGTACCATATAGCACCAAAAAGGGTTCCGCTGTTGTTACAATGTCAAGCTTGTAACAACAGAAGAACCCTTTTTGGTGCCACATAGATCCATTTTCAAAAAGGTTCTACATAAAACCATTTATAACACATTCTCCATCAATCACCATGCAAAGAACCCTTTAAGCATGAAACAGTTCTATATAGAACATACAGAACTCATGGTTCTAAATAGAAACATTCCCTTTCCCACTGATCTTTGAAGAACCTTCGTTTGTGTGTGCGCTAGAGTAGAAGCACTCAGGAAACAGGAGTTCATTAGTTGTATTAGTGCAAGCCTAACTGTCGTGTGATACCGTGATACTTTGTGAAAATATCGCGATACTGAGTTTTATCGTCCAGCTCTACTCAGTACTCAGGCGCCTGTTGGTGCTCTGCGGCTCCTTTACTGCGAACACTTAACATGCAAAAGTAAAGAAACACAGCTGCTATCAGAGGAGCCGCGCCCATTATTTGCCCATGAACAGCCCATTAGCCTGGCAGACAGTTACCTGCCAGGTAGCCGAAAAGTCTGTAAGTTACTCCACGACCAAAGTGAAGTTTGTCTGCTGCTTCTGTCTACATTTGCTTATAAGTGAAGCAGAATAAAGTGTTTTTTCTCCTCAGGCAACTCAGTCAGCCAGCCTCACATACCGACTTCATCATATATCACTCAGGTAACTCAAAACAATCTTCTTCCCAAAGTTTACACACACACACACACACACACACCACACACACACACCACACACACACACACACACACACAGCACATCTGGAGAAAACCTACATTTGAGGCCGGTAAGACTGAGTTGCTTTTTCGTCTCAGAGTACTCACCATAGCGAACTGAAGATACTTCCTGTTATACAAGATCTCTTTACCACAGTGCTAAGCAAAGGAGGGAGCTCTGAAGAAAACAGCAGCAGCAGGTTTCAGGTGAAACTCGGATTTAGTTGAGCTCAGGGCTGTAAGTCCATCTGCTGCTCTACACTGGTTTAAACTCCTCAGTTTGAATTCTTAAAACAGTCCATCTCGTTACCTGAGGATTAAAAACATGGGAAAGCGACTGAGCTGTAGAGAAAAAACAGTCTCAGAGACTCCACAGCGGCAAGTGCGGACAGGTAAAGGAACTTTCAGCACGGATGGGATTCTGGGTAGACGCACTGGAACTGGAAAAGAGCGACCTCTGCAGACCGGCCTGAGGGCACTACACCTCAACGCACTCCAATTACAGCTGTAAGCAAAAGTTTGAACACACATAAGAAACACATAACTGAAAGAAACACACACACACACACACACACACACACACACACACACACACACACACACACACACACACACACACACACACACACATCAGGATCAGATGTTCTCTGCAGAGGATGTGTTAACTTATGTTCACTTAGAAAATCAACATGATTTAACCAAGGGTGTTTAAACTTTTGCACAGGACTGGACATTTACTAGTTACACTGTAAGCCAGTTTATGGCCATGAATTAAGCCTAGTTTTAGGCATAAATGCAACACTGGTAGTGATTAAAATCCTTTTAGGGTCTTTCTACTATTGCGGTGACAAAATGTGTCCCGTAATTTTAAAGCTATGAAAATGAGCTCCAAGTAAGAATAAAATACAGAAAGCTGATGTCTTTGTATTCTTTATTCTACTCCTCAACTAAAAAAATCAAAGTCTATGATAATTCTTCTTTTTAAATTTATTTAGTGAAAAATAGGAGTAGGAAGTTCTTTCTGAATTACTTCTTGTATAATATCTGAAAGTAAAGTTGAACTCTGGCAGCTTCTTGTATTGCAAATTCTTGTATTGTCAGTGGTGTTACTCATGAAGCAATAAGTGATTTTAAAATTGAAATAAAATATCTCCATGAATGCAGTATTTCTCTTTTTCTACATAAAATGTCACTTTGAAACTGAAGTGGCAGTGGACTATTTTAGAAAAGCACAGATCTCAGTCATTTAGTCCTTTTGCTGTTGTTCAATATGACTAACTACTTACAACTATGCTATGCTATGTACTTTTCCGTTTGCCACTGCAGTGGTAGAATGACCCTTTTAATCTAGGTTAAGCCTTAATCTGTGTCTTCTCATCCAAAAGTATCTAGACACCTTCTAATTAGTGAATTTAAAATTTTAAAGGGGCACTAGAAGCAAAACAAAAAATGTAACCTTCGTTCCATCAGTTGTAAACATGACTTGCTTCCTACAGTGTTGCAGCAGTAGTCTAGGGTGAGATTTTCTGGTTTAAAGACTAGAAAAACCCTCTTCTGATGACATATCATGAATGTGGGAGGCCCTTTTCAGAAACTATAACTGCTCTGGGGTGGTCACATAAGGACAGGATGTTTTGTCCCCAGTAGGTGATTAATGCAGAAGAAAAACAGATCGCAAACGTTACTGTTGGGAAGCTAAACATCACAGCAGTATTTATCAGCCTTATCAGTGAATTTCTTTATGGTCTTTGGGGGGATTCTCAATGGCTATATTCCGTATTTATGTAATACTTGCTGGGTACTGTAGTGGGAAAACACAGAGATGAAAACACAAAACAACACAATCATGAATTCTGTAATATTACATCAACAAATTAAATGCTAGTTTTAGGCCAGAATGCAAAATATACAGAACACACTCATTGCTGACACAGGTGTGCAGTTTCAAACACAGCTTGTATAATTTCCATAGAAAAGCATTGCTAATAAAATGGTTTGCTTTGAAGTAGCTGTATATGAGCCTAAGGTCACGATGACCAATGCCAAGTGTTGGCTAGAGGGGTATAAAGCCCCCAGCTTTGGACTCTGGAGCAGAGAACCTGCCTACTCTACAAGGATGGAACTCCATTCAAAACCTGAACAATGAGTTTTACTTGTGATCCACTGAGCAATGTTCCAACATCTAGAGTAAAGTCTTCTCAGAAGAATAGAGGCAGTTACTGTAGCAAAGGGGAAACAAACTTCCCATTAGTACCCTTGATTTCAGGAGAAATGATGGATGAGCTTGGGTCTACAAACATTTGGATTTATACTGCATTTCCTATATTAGCATGGGCACCATGAAACAACAGCTAAGTATGGAACGGATATATGGATTAGACATACAGTACAGTATGTTTTGATCATTTCATGACTGCACAGTGAGGAGGGAGCCACCTGAGATTCAGCCAATGCTACCTCGGCCAACATGAAGACGCATGCCATGAAACAGATACATTTAATTTATTATACAAAGGAACATTCACAAGTTAAGGGAGGTCATTCACGTGATTGTAAGCTGGTCCGTCTAACAAGTTACAAAGCAAAGAAAAGGGTCCGACACACAAACAAAAAGTAGTATAAAATGGTAACGAGAAAGATACATGTACTCCTAAACAGCTTAATCAACCATGTCCAAATAATTTGTGAGAAATGGGCTTCCACTAAAAAGGTGAATTAAAATTGTTAGCCTACTAGGATAACAAGTCCTGTTAAATGGGGCTTTTTTCATTTCAATAATAAAAATACCTCTTAAACCAGTTTTAATCTTTAAACCTGTGCATTTCCTGGTTTAATAACCCAAAACTAAAACAATCTATTGATTTTGTCCACTTATTTGTAGCCCTTGCTTTTTTTCTTACTGTCATCTGATCAGCTCATTCATACAACTGTCAATCTGACCCCCATCTGAAGCTCTCCTCTCGAGTTAAAATAATACAGATGCTCAGTGGCAAAGGAACGTATTTATACACAGCTCATCCTGACTAGAGAAGAGTCCATGCACATTTTGAAAAAGTTTTAAATTCAGGGTATGAACATCTGTACAGATGAGGGCATCTTTGATAATATTTCTGCCCAAAACAATTTATAACAAACAAACAAAATACAAAGAAAAAGCAAGTCAGACATGTCATGTAAGTACGCAAGTAGCTGTAAATGGGCAATAAATAGTGTTTTTTGCCTCTCGCTTTTCTGTTTCACACTGTAATACTTAAAAAGGTTAGAATTGGACTTTAAGTAAACTTGTGCACTCCCTGAACTGAATCAAACCAAATGTAACTAGGAAAATTTGGAGTTGTACCATACTCATGCTTTAGTGCATCAGCAACTTTTTTTCACATCATTAGGCCAGAAGTTGAGTGGCAATCTTGCAATTAAATAAAGGGGTTCCAGGTATGTTTGGAAGGTGAAATATGGCCAATAAAACATTTTATTAAGCCAGTTAGAGCCTGTTCACAGAGTCCCTCAACCTAAAGTCAGAAAAGTTAAGTTTTGATTTGTGAGAAATGTGTGGTTCTCTGAAACTGTAGCTAAAAATAACACTGACAAAACTGGAGAACCCACTGGTGCTGTTTACCCACCATCTCCCTCATACTACACAGTGAACATTCCTTAATGCATTACTCACTCAGTTTGTCCATTACTCTTGTCTCAGCAGTGACTGAATTATATGTATTTGTGAACATATATTGTAGATAGTTCACTCAAAGTAGAAAGCATTAGTGATACAGACACAAAACAGCTCAGGAATATGCGGGAATTTAAGACAGTAAGTAACACAGCACATGGAAGAGTACAAAAGCAGCGAGTCAAAGCAGAGTTGAGCCTCAGCCTAAGGTTTCGAATGAGGCACTAGGATACTGGATAGAATAAGATTCCAAAAGGATATCCAGAGAAATGCAACACAACATGAAACGGCGAGAGAGGAATTGAAGGAAAGCTATTGAGACAAAGCGAAACTTCACAGCTGAGAGCTCTTCAGTCAGGGTATAAAATCTATGATCAAAACTCAGTCTGGCTGTACAAACACGCTGGGATGGCAGATGGGGAAAGGTTGGGAAAAGGTTCGGGAGTGGCTTCTCAAAGTGGTGCAGCCTTTTCCAGTTCCAAACATTCTAGTCCGACAACGGAGGACTTCAGCACTCCCGCACGTGGTCACATGATGCCGTTGGTGAGGTACTGGAAGCCGTCATACAGCTTGGTGGTGATGGAGCGCATGGAGCCATCCACCATCTGCTCCACCAGCACCTGCAGCTGCTCTTCCGTCAGGCTCATGTGGAAACGCTCCTTCAGGTTACGGATGGTGCTGGAGCCGTGGAAGCAGGGCAGCTGAGAGCCTGGAGAGCAAGAACAAACATCCTAACCATCAGGAGAGGCTACAGAAGAGAACGTTCAATAAGCAAAACTGGACTGACTGTAGGCTGTCACTATTGATTATTTTAGTAAATACACTCATCTACCGATTAAAAAAAAAGCTGAATTGCCAATTTTCTAGTGCATATGCACAGATACAGAACATGTTCCAGACATGCTTTGATAAATGAGACTCGAGTGTTTTTTTTTCATACCATGTCTTTTTAAAATAAGATTTCCATTAAAATATATTGTATGTTGCAAAAAATGCATATAAATGGAGTGTGTCCATAAGGGTCAGTTTTATACTATAAGAAAGACCAGCAGAAGATTTTAAAATATGCATCATCATCATGCAAGTTGGCAAGTAAACAGTGCAAATTCACAAAGATGGTAAATTTTAAGTAAAAGTAATTAACTAAAGTAAAAACTACAGTAATTGTGTCAGCAAAACTGACAGTAAACATGCTTAGCTCTAAAAATGGACCTGTTTGTAGATATACAGCACCTTGTTGCATGATCTCTACAATCTGAATGACTTTCTCCATGTGCTTGCGTGCAGCAATGAGGCCCTGAAGCATAAGCATCTTGTAATAGTTGAACATGTCTCCATCTTGACCTCCCATGACCTAAAAAAAAGAACACAGGCTTAAAATCCTCAGAAAACTAATCAGACAGTATCTTCATCGTTTTCAAAATATTCCCCTCTTTGACAATCTCTTAAATATGTTTCCTTACATCTACAAATTCATTGGTCAGTTTGAAGGCAGACGTCTCAAAGCCCAAATTTCTGGGAGAGCTTGACAAAATGAACCCAAAGTCAATGTGAATGATGTGACCCTCTGAGTCGAGCAAGATGTTCCCATTGTGCCTAGAAAGCAAAACAGAGCATGAAACACAGGGCATCTCACAAACGTGTTTGAGTACAAGCTACAAAGTACAGTAACTAAGCACTGGGCAAGATAAATAATCACTTGCTCCTATTTAGAATATCCCACCTGCAATGTGTCTCACATCTGTAAGATGTAACATCTTTT